CGTTCACACAGCGATTCAGCGCTTTATCATGTTATTAAGCTTGACAGAGTTTTGATTATTGCACGTTTTACCCTATAACTATAATATAAAATAAGGTTTCAACTTGTAACTGGTATCAAAAGTAAATCTAGGATATAATGATGATACCTACACTCTTAGTAATGATATAGCTTTACTGTTCCATCTTAACACAGAAGTCCGATGATGGAGAACGATAGTAGTGAATACCTAGTCATTTCAAGACACAAGTAGCATTAATCAATGTTTAAGGGTTGGGTAAGCTTCATTGGTGACATTTAATATTATTCTAATATTTAAAAAAAATGTATGTCGTGTATTTAAAAATGTTTTTTTTTCTTTTCAAATAATTAGCAACTAGCTTGTAACATTGTATCTTATCAAAACTGTCGGTTTGTGTCCTAGGCTAAGGTTTTCTCTCGATCAAAATTGACTAATTTAGTAAAGTTTTATCTCTTCTCTTAATTACGTTTGGTTCAGTATATACTTTATTTAATATTCTTTAGCTATCCTAATTCAATTAATTATATGTGACAAATAATGAAATTTTAATTAATATTACATTAAGTATAAATATGGTATGAGCTGTTTTAAGAGCTCGATCGACGTTGTCAAGATTAGCTTACGTTTTTGGATATAATATAATGTATATATTAACTATGGTAATGAGCAAAAGTATTGACCGAAGATGTTCTTCTGTTTTTGAAATTGTATCATTTATCATTAATAATTTTAGTGCAAACCCCGTGGGAGCATATATGCCTTAATTTAGCAATATCGCAGAAAGAATGATTAAACAAATTTAACATTTATTGGATCAACATTTATGATTCCGTTTCTGGTTGAAAGAACAAAGTGTAATTTGAACCTTACTTAAGTCTCTCATAACAAAGGCAAATGAGAAAAAGATAGAATAAACATTTCTCGGCAAATTGAATTTCCATTCTTGGTAGGGTTAGCGCACTGGGCGGATTAATTTTTTCTGAAGTGAAGATTTTCTTAACGCATTTTTGAGACGATTTCGCTGTTTTAAAACTTTTTATTTTTCGTAGAATATAAAACAGTTTTCTATTTAGCTTACCTGGCATCCCTTTATCGTCTTGATATTTTTTAGGGTTCTGTTGTCCTAACAAGAAACCTTTATAATTTCGTCATGTCCATCTGTCTGGCCATTACTGTCTGTATTTTAGGGTACTCCTCTCCCGGTCCACCAGGCCCGGGGACGGTCCTGGTACCGCAGACAACTCAGGTGCTCCATAAGCGCAGGCTTGGGGGTGACAGGTGAGGCCATCTGTCACCCTAGCAGAAGCAGGCCGGGTTGGTGGTGGGTCGCGCTGGGGAGCGCGCACGCCTTTTAGATTGTAGAACGGGAACACCGTGGTTTCCACATACGGGGGGGTCATCTACAAACCGTAGATGGTCTGGGGTCCGTCAGGGTACCAGGGATTTCCTTCCTAGGGTACACCTGGTTCCCCGGCTTCAAATTGAGAGATCATGTATAGTAGCGCCGTTCTGGGTGCTGAAATGTGAACATTACTTAAAAATAACTTTCATATCGAGTAACTATTTCCAAGGGACAATTATTCAGCATTCTTGAAAATGGGTGTGGCTTAAACATTCAGCCAACGTTTTACGTTGGCTAAGTGTTTAATCACTTGGCACAGCATATTATCCTGGCTTCAAGACGTTTAAGTTCAGGAGTATTTTTCACTAAGGCTAAGTGAAATATTGTTCTTTCAACGAATTAAACTTCATTTACATTTAAAACTTTGCAACTCAAAGCATTTTACAGAACAATTTCAGGATTACATTAACATGGCCGGGCTTAAAATATATTCAAGTTTGGTTGTTTAAAATATAAAGTTTAGTTTTTTAAGCTGCTTTAATTCGTTTTATTTAACGTAACTCAGACTGAGTTACTTTATTAGTTAAGGAGTTACTTTTTAGCACCCAATAAGAAAGGATTTTTAGGATATTTTACCCCTAAGACGATTAAATAAGGGATGAACGGTTGTATGGAAGTTTGTCATTTTCAAAGTTAGAAACACGAAATAAGAAATAACAAGGCGAGCTAACCCGCGGGCAATAGCTAGTTTTATATTAGAAAAGATCGGCATAGTCGTAGAATAGTGTCGGATCTGACATTTATTGAACTTTATAGGGCCCATGGGGGCATTTCAAATAATTGATAGTTTTTTTACATAACTTTTTAATTCTAAATCTGTAATTATGAATATTGGCATACAAGTGAAGAATAGGGTTTATTTTAACATTCAATAAAAATATGCTTCCTTATATCTACTTCCTTATACTATCAAATCTGTCAGATCACCGACTGAATAATTTAAAATCTAAAATACATTTAATTTTTTCTTGAATGTAGTAGTAATATTTAGACTATGTCCAACCGTATCCAAATATGGTAAAAACTGAATATTGTATTTTTTTCAAAACTGACATTATTCTACGATCACGACAAGCTGCTTGGTTCGTCTTAATACACGCTTAAAGACTTAAGTGTATAGATATATATCTATATTTTACAGACATAATTAATCATGTTGTTGGTACAGAAGATTAAGAAGTAAGCCCTCGCTAAAAGCTGGGTTCCACAAAATATGCATAAGGTCTGAATACTATTCAGAACGTAATACATAATCGTAGGTTAGTACTAAACAAGTTTTAAACAAAGCAAGCCTTTTCCTGTGATGTTTCCTATTAAAATTTACTATGAATTCATTCGAATTCGCTTTTCATAAGGCCTGTCTGGAGAGCTATTTATCAGAATACTTTAAGTAGTCATTGTGTTTAAGCGGAAGAAAGTACGAGTCCGTAATAAATGACCTAACTCCGCAGTCAGCTCAGTCTTCCTTTTATAATATTATCATCATAAAATGATAATAAAAAGTATTTCAAAGATTTGTTATATTGTATTAGATTTTCTGCGCCAAGTGTTCTTTTTTAATTCGAATTACAAAGTGTACAAGTGCACTGGTTACCATTACAAGGTGCATACTTAATAGATTTACTAAACTTTTAACTAATACAAAGCACGACAAGTTGACAAACTAACAACAACATATTTCTTGGCTTTCGGCTTTGCTTTAAAGGTTTGAAAAATACTGTGCTTTTCATTATGAAATTAACAATAAATGGTAGAATTATATTTCTTAGTTAGTTCAACGGAAACCGGAGCATCATTTAATTTATTTTCTCTTCTTTCAAGTAACAATAGCTGGCTTGGTTTGGCTTTAATAACGCAATTAACGACAATCTACAGCACCGGGGAGAAATATTGTTCGAAGATATAATCATTTATCTGGTGGTTAAATTAAAAAGATACCGAAGACGTACCATTTTGTAAAATTATCGGATTACAACAAGACTAATGTAGTATAATAAACTAACTTTAATGATTATGAACCCGATCTGACATCATGTCAACTTATAATAACGACTACGTATAGTTAAACCGCCGTAAGCTTGGCCCTCCTGATGGTTTGGGGGACGCGGGGCGGGGGTGCATTCAACCAATTAGCTAGTGCGTCGCTGTCCGCCGGCAGTGACTGACGTGAAAGCATGGCTGTACGTGTAATTTTTCTTAAGACTGCTACACACGGTATTACTTTGCAACATGGATAATCTGCGGACTCTGCATCACAAAAAGATTTAAAAACTTGAAGTTCGGCTTACAGAGGCTCTACTGTTAAAGTTCTAATACAGAATATTTATTATTTTACTTAATTTTTAAATTTTATCTGAATATAATTTACATGATGAAGATAAGGTGATTTTATTAAAATTATTTTACAGTATTAAATTTTACAATTAATCATAAAAACTTACAATACACTGACATTATAATACATGGAAATAAATTCGATTTTTATTACATCGTGTGTTGATTAAATCTCAAACAAATAAATCTGGAGATATCGAGTTAGTACATCGTGTCATGTATAGCCGAGCGCATCACCCGCCCCGCGTCCGGCAAACCATCAGGAGGGCCAAGCTTACGGCGGTTTAACTATAATACTAACCACTACGACTTACTTACTACTATTATACTATTACTACTGTTAATATTATTATTATCTTTGTAACTCTAGGCAATATTATATTTGCCTTTAACAAGTTGAATAAGCTCGACAAAGGTAAAGAGACAAACAAACATAAGTATAGTTATACAGAAATATCACTGTGTGTCTTATACGAATAGACTCACATTAAATATATCCATATTAATATAAACTAGCTTTTGCCCGCGGCTCTGCCCGCTTGTATGTCTGTTATCGCAGTAAAAAGTAGTCTATGTTTTTTCTCAAGAATCAAACTCTCTTCGTGCCAAATTTCATCTAAATCGGTTCACCGATTATTGTTTCCCCACACAAAACTTCCACCCCCCCCCCCCCTTAACCCCCTTAAAAGATGAGAAAACTATCCTAAGTCCTTTCCCGAGACTCAAACTGTCTCTGTACAAAATTTCATCTAAATCGGTTCAGCGGTTAGAGCGTGAAGAGGTAACAGACAGACACACTTTCGCATTTATAATATTAGTATCGATAACTGTCAAACACTTGACATCAAACGATTCAAAATAAAGACACGTTAGGATTATCTTTGGATTTCCTCAAGTTGATTACGCTGTATGTGTAATAATCTATGCCTGCTCAAAAAGAGTTCGAAGACATAGTATCATATTTTCCCTATTGGACTGCGATAGACCAATAACCTTTGACAGAACTAGATCTGTCGGGTCCGCTAACAATTTATAATATTAATTCAACAGTTACAAAACATATAAACTAGTCTTAGTTGAATAAGAAAACTTGATTATTTACAAGTAATGAAGAAGTTATTATTCTTCCATTGTTACTACCCTCATTTCTAAGCTACCTGACTCCTTGTTATGAACCTTCTCTCAACTTATGTAAGAAACCATACTCTTTTTAATTGCACTAATATATTTTAATTGTTTGCAGGACATCGACAACTTAATGACGGAAGGCAATAAATCCCGTACAGTTGCTGCCACTAACATGAACAGTGAATCGTCACGTTCACACGCTGTCTTCAGTGTCGTGTTAACACAAACGCTGACCGACACTGCGACCGGTGTAAGTGGGGAAAAAGTTGCAAGGCTCTCACTGGTTGACTTGGCTGGATCCGAGAGGGCAGTGAAGACTGGCGCAGTTGGCGATAGGTTGAAGGAAGGATCAAATATCAACAAGTAAGATAGTATTTTAACTAATACTTTAGTATTGTATAACTGGACAAATTAATTGTATTCTTATCAGTAGATTTCTCTCATTATTGTTGTTTCATGACGTTTTAAAAATATCATTTTGATCTACATCCATTTCTGTCATTCAATGGTTTATACATTAAATAAAATACAATTATAAGCAAAACTTTACTGACCTTAAAAAACAATTTGCAAAAGGAAAAAAATAATTTAATTAAAAAATGAAACTGAATAAAGCCGAACCGGAAATCGCTGCATTAATATTTAATATATTTGCAGTTTATTTATTTATTGAATATCCTTAGTAATGTTTAAGTGTGTAAATACTTATCCTATAAAAAACCGATGCATCATCGAAATTACACTGTATATTGCCTCTACGTTTACCGAACTTACATTACCGCGAATTAAGTTGCGGGCTAAAACTAGTGTAAAACTCAGATCGACTTGATTACGTATAGTTTTTATTTAATGTGTAGACAATCGACATGATTTACATAACATGTGTTTTGTAACAATCACTTATTTACATTAATCAGATTACCTTATTATAAACTGGAGACAGGGTTACTCTAGAGTGATGATGTTATGATGTAAGCCACATTACAATAATAATATCATCTAGGGTCTTTCATTATAAGGACTAAAGTGCTAAGGTATAAAGACGTTTACTGAAAGATATTTAATAATTTTCAGGTCGTTGACTACCCTTGGGCTGGTAATATCAAAACTGGCCGACCAGTCGTCAGGCAGTAAAAATAAGGATAAGTTCGTACCGTACAGAGATTCAGTGCTCACGTGGTTGCTCAAAGATAACCTTGGCGGCAACAGCAAAACTGTCATGGTGAGTTGTTATGGATTTTAGTCGCCAACATAATTTTGTTGTCACATTATGTAAGTGGAAGATGAAAGTGGAGAGTAAATTGTATATATGTATGTGGCAGTGGGTGGACGGAACGTATTTTCCTGTCCACCCGCCATAATGGCCAGCCGTCCGCCTGTGACTGGATGTCGCCTAAATAGAGAGTATTTGAAAGGGATACGCGTATTACGTATACAACTGTATTAGGAAGTGTAAATTGACTTCAACTTTTTGATTTCTTCAAGTCTGTCGCATACCTGTTAATTGAACTAACTTTTGACGGAAAGTAGGAGCCCCCTAACTTATTTACACATAACTCATCAGATTCAATGACAAGGCAATATAAAGACAATTTAAATAAGACAATTTTTAGACATTTTTATGAAGCTGTCAATTCTTTTTCAATTGACAGCTTCATAAAAATGAAATAAGGTGACGATTTCATAAAGGAGATACACATATGGTCGCCAAGTCCGTATATTTTCAGTCAGAGTACAATCTGGTCGGAATAGAACATGTGGCTCCATGACGCACGAAATGTGATCGTAATCGTACAATATAGTTCTGCTTGTAGAATTTCTAAAACAGTCAGTTTTAAAAGTTTCATTGCTAAAAGCACTCAGAAGAAGATGTAAATCTCAGAAGTTGATTAATTTACATTAAACTGTATCCACCGTAGACACAGGACAGTTATGTAAAAGTAAGTGTTGCTTAATGACGCAAGCTTTTCCAACACTTCGTGGTAAACACTTCTGTCTGCGAATAAAAATTACCTTTGCATCTAAAACAGTCTTAGTCTAGACTCGATTACTGCTGACATTGGCATAATGAGTTTAGTGACTTTTACCATTTGGAATACATTTTCCGATAGTTTCAACTATTATGAATAAGTTTTTTTAGTGAATGGGTTTTAAAGTATTAAGCTATTGCATAGCTTCTATCGAGGGCCTTGAGCGCGGGGACCGAATCCAGAAATTCCGTAACGAAAAAAAACCTCACGCTAAAAACAAAACCAAAATCAAATGCTGAACGTCAAAGGAAATTTCGTCAACATAATGCAGAAAAATCTTACATGGATATGTAATTTGATTTAATAATAATATTTTTTATTTATTTATTTAAAAACAAATTGTAATATATGCTTCAATATTTTTATTTAATAAAAGAAAAAAAATTGTTTTCTTATCGGTCACCACGCTCAAAAAGTGTAACTTGAATTAATATCAAAGAAAAAGAAATACTGCATAAATAAAATAAATAAATAATTATAATTGCATAAGTTGATACAAAATGCTATGCAATAGCTTTACCGCGGCAGTCCCCGAGTGCCACACGTCTTTTTTTTTTATTTCAAATTGTTGGATTTAAAAAATATTAAAAAAAATATTTTAGCTAAAATTATGATTGTTGTTACTTATGAAGAAATTCAAATCGAGATACCCGAAGTCGTTGATAGTATGAAACATTCCGTATAATTATAGAGAGTAAAAACTGCGTGTGTAAAAAATCTAGTGAACCCTCGCAACTAATTTTTTTGCTAGGGTTCACTAATTTTTTTTTCATATTTCGATAAATTTGTTAAACTGAATACAAATTTTTAATAAAAGTGTATATAAGACGTAGAAACGCCTAACCCCAAAATATTACTTAGTATTTTATTCTTAAATAAATAGAGGTTTGCTACGTTGATGTCAATTGCAACGTGTTTTCATCATCATCATCATCAGCCTATTGCCTGAGCGCCAGTCATACTTATTCAAATTAAGAGCCTAATTTGATTCAAACGCCAATAAATACCACATAACCCTAATCGAACTAAGTAACTGCATTCGCAGCTTAATTACTCAACACTTGAAAAGCTCTTAAAGCATAAAGATAACACAAATAAAGTATTTTACAGACGGAATAAATTCATGATTCCGTCCACGGGCCGCCGCATCCTTTGAGTCATTGCCACCACCCAACTCGAAACACTCATGCCACGTCGTCTTGAATAAAAATGTTCTCCAAAGCCTTCCAATATTAAAATGAAGACAGCTCTTTTATAACTTGTTGTTATTTATGGAGTTTTCTCTTCTAAACCAATATATCGCCGTACCTTAAACACAAAAAAGAATAGTCACATACAGGTGTGTGATTATTTTTGTTTGCTTCCGTCCCTATGGCCTCAATTTAATCCGACTTCAAAAAAGGGAACTGATTCTCAATGCGGTTGTAGTTTTTTATGTCTATCAACTCAGAAATCGGCCTTTTATGAACCAATTTTGATTTTTTTATTTGATAGAATAAATGTCCCATTTCAATTTTAAGAAAAATCCTAAGGCTGGCAAATTAAGGAATGAAAAAATAGTATATTACCATTTATTATGACGTACGTGCATTGAAGGCGGTGATGCTATTTTAAAAGTTAATTATTTTCATCTAAGAAAAAAGACGGACATGTGTGGAGATATGTCAGGTTATTTAGAGTCGACATAAAAGACGATTTCAAACAATTTTAAAAGTTTTATGAAATAATATGTTTTATGAAACTTAGTTTATTATTATTATCTAAGATTTCAAGCAGTAAGTAATGGCAACCGTTACCTGTAAACATTCCGCAGAATGAGCGTGTAAAAAAAAAGTTACGGCTTGCTGAGTTGATTACGTAATGAAAACAAAAAGAGATGTAGGAAATGACTAAAGTAATAGATTACTAACTTAATTTGACCACTGGATACGGAAACACCCTTTTCTATCATAAACATCGACCCTTAGAAACGGACCCATTAACTAAAACGATTATAAGAGAGTTCATGCGACATTTGTATATTTCGGTTAGACAGGGGGTTGATTTATGTTCTGTTTAATCTAGTTATTAATGTTAGTGCTGTCTACATAAACTAAATGTATTCAACTATTTTAGAGTGTTCTTCGAGAATAATAGTGGCAAAATTGTCATTGTAGTCATTTGGAAATTCCGTTAGGTATAATGTTTTATTGAAACAAAAGTGTTATCATTTTCGACAGCCCCGTTGGTCTAGTGGATAGTGATCCTGACTGCTAAGTCAAATGCTGTGGGTTCGATTGCCACCTAGGACATGATTGTGTGAGGACCACGAGTCGCATCTTTATATCCTTTATCTGTAATAAATGTATTTAGAAATATATAAGTATGTTTATTAGCAGTCTGATTACCATAGCACAGGTCCTTGCCTAGTTTAGGATCAGACTGCCGTGTGTGAGAAGTGTAAAAAAAGAAAATCCTACGGGTTTATTCCTTTATTCAATGTCCAGGTGGCAACAATATCTCCAGCTGCTGATAATTATGAAGAAACGCTTTCGACGCTAAGGTACGCAGACCGAGCGAAGCGCATCGTGAACCACGCGGTCGTCAACGAGGATCCCAATGCGCGCATCATCAGGGAACTCCGTCAAGAGGTGGAGACGCTCAAAGAGATGCTCAAACATGCCACGGTGAGAATCTATAACCTCTATACCTTAGTTTTCTAATCCATACTAATATTATAAATGTGAATGTGAGATTGTGAATTACTAGCTCTTGCCGCGGCTTCGCTCGCGTGAATGTCGGGTATGTTATGCACTCGCTGATAATGTACAATTTATAGATACCAAAGTAATGATAGATATTCGCATTAACATTCCTATTTCAAAGTTGCATTAATTTTTAACTAGCTTTGGACCGCGGATCTGCCTGCGTATATTTCGGTTATCGCGGTAAAATGTAGTCGTATGTTATTCGCCATTAATGAGGCTTTTCATTGGTGAATGAATGTTTGAAATCGGTTTAGTGGTTTAAATATGTTTAAAGCTTACCAAACAAACAAACAAACTCACTTTCATATTTGTAAGTATGGATTATCTGTAATATCATATGCTAAGATTATATTCTTTTTACTTCGTATAAGCTAATTCGTTCTTCACTCAATTTGGTGTTTTAGTCCCTATGAAAACTCTAATAGTTCCATCTGACTTTGGATATGTTACAATTGGATCAAGCCAGGCATTTTAGAAGTTTTTTAATTCAGTTACGAGCTTTACCGTCTGTCCTATTGAAATAGTTAATGGCTTTCTGTTTCTTGTAAATTGAGCCGAGAGAACAGAACTTCAAATACACTAGCATTGATTTTCTGGAGAAATAAGTTTTTTAATTATCCCAATCTCTCAGTTACAATGCATTTACAGTAAAAAATCCCACACGAATTGGATATGCCGTGTTCAATGTTTAAAAAAAGGTTGTCTTGCACACTCTTTTACTTTTGTCTTACCCACGAAGCATTTATATTTTGACTAACAGGGGATAGGTCCTTAAAAAAATGATATCCGTTATTAAGATTCGTGATATAAAGTGTTTAGCAGATTGATTTTCAGGGATCGCCTATGGGCGAGGACGTGCATGAGAAGTTAGCTCAGAGTGAACATTTGATGAAGGAGATGTCCAGGACATGGGAGGAGAAGCTTGTTGAAACTGGTAAGTAAAATTTTATTTTTAATTAATATTTATCGTTATAGTCACCTAAAGATTTTATTTTATAATTTATCCGATAGTTCAAGACGTCTAGTGCACCTAGACGTGGTAAACTATTTCATTATAACTTCATATCACAATAATGTGATTGGCTGTTGTTAAATCATGCTATCGTAACGGTATCGTATTCTAAATGTTCGACTGAAGAACTTTATTCCGACACTAATTTATTTAGTTGTTCCTTCACATGGTTCTTATGGACGCCACACATGCTCAATATTACTGATGGTTACAGAAGTTAGAACTATTGTTTGTGAACGACTATGTTGAACGACTTTTTTAGTGTATCGACTGGATCTATCTTTTCATTGTCTCTAAATAGTCATACTAAACATTGGCTGTTCCTTTTTTGTTTTTGCAGAAAATCTGCAATGAATTGCATGTGACTATTTTCAGACAAATAAAGTCCTAAGACGTCCTACCAGATAATAAAATTGAGATTAAAAATTCATCCAACTTGCGGTTTAGAAATATTTTATACTGTTACTAGTGTACTAAATAATGTTTTACGTTTCAGGACGAGTACAAAGTGAACGTCAACAAGCTTTAGAGAAAATGGGCATCAGTGTACAGGCCAGCGGTATCAAAGTAGAGAAGAACAAATACTACCTGGTCAACTTAAACGCCGATCCTTCTCTCAACGAACTGCTTGTATATTATCTAAAGGTATTTAAGTGATCTTTTCATGTAAATTTTAATTATAAATACTCATTTTGCATGTTAACATATTACTCCAATTGAGTCTCAGTTTACACATGCAAGTAGACAACGTCAAATACAATTTATGATTAAACAGTATGATTTAAAGTAATCTGGATAATGCATTTGTAACATTTGGCTTAATTTCTCTGTTAGGACCGCACTTTAGTCGGCGCGGACAACTCTGCCGACATCCAACTGTCCGGTCTCGGTATTCAGCCGCAGCACTGCCAACTATTAGTCGAAGGTGGTGGACTTTATATGGAACCCTTAGGGGCTGCAAGATGTTTCGTTAACGGCACACCAGTTGTATCAAGAGTGAGGTTGGGACACGCCGATAGAATACTGTGGGGGAACCATCACTTCTTTAGAGCCAACTGTCCTAAGGCTGCAGGTGAGGAGGATATATTTAGTTATTCACAATTTTGAGCTTAATACTTTTTTATTACGATAATTAAATATAAAATGCAATGTGTTTTTCTGTTGCCAAGTGCTGCTTTGTTTAACATACGTAGTTTTCTATAACCGGTAAATAGTACAGTATTTAGCGTACTAAATATATTTCCATACTTCATATCATAAGGAAATCGCATAATGTGTGTTCACAGCACTAGTGCCGCCATAACGTCTTTTATAAAACGGTTACTTCTGTTAACCGAAAACTATATCATGTTTGATTGTAGTTTTAAGTCAAACTTCTTTCGGTTTCTTTATGTTTAGAATTTATAAATCTCATTTTTCGAATTATTTTCAATTCACCGAGTAGTTCTGTAAGTTTATTTTGCGACGTATTTTAATTTCGCTTTTGTTATCTAACATTTGCACTAACGTTGTGTGTTCTAGAACAAGATTCTGTTCACTCCACAGCGGCGGCATCGGAGCCACAAACTCCGGCGCAACCGATCGACTACAACTTTGCCAGGGACGAGATCATGCTCAACGAGCTAAGCAATGATCCTATACAGACAGCCATATCAAGGCTGGAGAAACAACACGAAGAAGACAAACAAGGTGAATTTTAAATACGATCAATATATATGGCTGTATAGTATCTACCTTACTATCATTGTTTTAACAAAATATAATTCGACTGCACGGATGGCGTAGTGGTTTAAGCGGTCGCCACGCCGCTTCCTACTACGCTGAATGTTGTGGGTTCGATCCCCACATGGCACAACACTTTGTGTGATCCACAAATTGTCGTTCTGAGTCTCGGTGTTCTTTGTGTCCGTTTCATGTATGTTTATAATCACACTGAAATGGATACAATACATTCGGGAATTGACTTTTTTTAATAAATAAAAAAGATATGATTCGAGCGGCAATATGTTACTGCTACTACAGGTTTTATATATAAAGAATAAAATATATTATATTCCTAGCATTTAAGAGAAAGTTGATGTTTTATAGCAGATGTTGTAAAAAGCAACTAAACTCATCTAACGTGAAAAGTTAGGACAGTGTCCTGTTTTACAGTGTGATGATTCTGTGTATAAAAGATAAATGGTTTATCTCACGCTTGTATTTTGGGATGCAAGATTGGTTTTGCACCTGGCTAAAAAACCTTTATATAGAGTGAAGCTACGCAAAGGTGTCATTTAGAAGTAACATTATAGGCCATACTTAACAAGTCGCGATGAATTTCAGTGGCCCTAGAGAAGCAAAGGCAAGAATACGAAAGGCAGTTCCAACAGTTGAGAAATATTCTATCACCGTCAACGCCGTACCCTCCATATTCGTACGATCCGCTTAAACTGGGTAAGTTTATGTATGTTATCTATACAAATAAATTGAACTGTCTGCTTGTAATGTCCAAATAATAGTTTTTTTTTCATGAAAATTTACATGATACCTATACACAAAACCAGTAAACCAAAATATTTTTTGTCTGTCTGTTTGTGCCCGGTAATCATCAAAACGGCTAAACCGATTTTGATAATATTTTAATACCACGTAGCTGTCCATATAAGAAGTAATTTATGCAATTTTTTCTCTTAGAAAGACTAAAGTTTTGCCCGATCTGGCAATGGAACCCGCTAAGGCCACGCTTTTTAAATTCCACGCGAACGAAGTCGCCGGCACCAGCTAGTTGTTTATAATTATATATGATTGACTATACGGTTGTATGCTATAGTTGGCGAAATCACGGCTCTTAGGTAGTTAGTCATAGATAATAAAACAATCGCATAAAATAATCAAATTAAAAGAATGTTAATTACAGTTACAAGGTTTCAGAACAACATTCACTCACCCCAAATGATAAATATAGTAATAAAATTAACGTATATTTGTTTTAATGGACCTAGTGATGTACGAGTTGTTTTACAGTTATTAATGTAGTTATTATCTATAAATTCTCTCTTTCTTTCTATCGTGAATCTCTTACATACATACATTTCTTTTCAATTTACTTTTTATTGGTCTTTACAAAGTAACTCATCCCAATGTATATATGTATGTATATATATATATATATATATATATATATATATATATATATGTATACATAAAGCACACTAATGTAACATTACTTCTGTGTCTGTTTTATTTATATATTGATGTACCTGTGATGACCTACAGTCATTTTAGTTGTAGTATGTATTCGAGGACTAGGAACAATTAATTCAGAAGCCCAAAATCGATCTAAGTGGAGTGCAATGGGAGAGACCTATGTCCAGCAGTGAACTGCGATAGGCTGACGATGAAATAAATAATTACACTTTCACTTTTATTTATTTATAATGGTATGATATATGCGTATTGTATGCCGTGGTGCAGGTAAAATGTCAGCTTGCACGCCGACGACGGCTGCGCGCGTGGAGCGCTGGGCGGCCGAGCGCGACGACACGTTCAAGCGCTCGCTCGGCCGCCTCAAGGCGGACATCCTGCGCGCCAACGCGCTGGTGCAGGAGGCCAATTTCCTCGCCGAGGAGATGCGCCGCAACACGCGCTTCAGCGTCACGCTGCAGATTCCGCCACAGAACCTTAGCCCTAACAGAAAGGTGAATAAGCTGACCGTCTTGTATTGATGCTAGTTTGTAAAAAAGGCTCGGTGGAAAATTTATTGATGTTTTGTGATAAAATAATACCGGTATTTAAATTATCACTGGAAATCATCTTTATATTTTTTATGATTTGCTAAAACTTATTTATTTTAACTATTTTTGGACGGCATCATTTGAACACAACACTGAAATAGCTTCAGCTAAAAACAGTTTTAGCCCAAAATAAGTTTATGAAATAAAATTAAATTTAAAACTTGCGATTCTAAAATAAAACTTCTTTGATCTGAGAAATAAATATCATTTAATTTAATTAATTAACCAAATATAGTTTTTGATTAATTTAGCAATAATTAAATAACGGTGCGAGGATACAATGCTAATTATTCTACGTATTACAGCGCGGCGCATTCGTATCAGAGCCGGCTATAATGGTGAAGCGTCCTGGCCGTGGTGGCCAGGTCTGGTCCATGGAGAAGTTGGACAACAAGCTTGTCGACATGCGCGATATGTACGACGAGTGGCGGCAACGCCAGCAACGACAGGGCGATGACGGTGTCGATGAAGTAAATGTAAGTCTATTATAGGAACGATAGCACTGTTAAACGAATAATCAGTTAAATAAATAAAAAATAAAAAATCGTCAATTAATCATTTATTGTCTCTATTCTAGTGGCCTCTTCAATCACATGATGATCATACGAGTACGCAAGCCTGGCCTTTTCTTGACGTGCGCTATCCCTGGAGTTGACTCCCTTACCATATCTTGTTTGACCCAATTAATATTCCTTCGTTGTCTCATCTCGAAAGGATTACGTTCTTAAGGCAGCCGCCCATAAAAGAAAACAGATAAACCTTTTCAATGTTATGTTTTGCTCCGATCCTAAGGAGATGAGATGATGATTATCAGCATAATGTTTTAACATACCAAGTAAAACTTTTTAAAAAGAAAAGGAAAATACGAGAATAGAGTCTTTACCTTATATGGGTACTATGCGTTCGCTGAATCGCCTCTAAATTAAACTTTAACGGAGTAGAACGTTCCACAAACTATGAAAATAATACAATGTTATATTATTGATTTTATGATGAAATACGTTTTTATTTTATCATCATTTTAGTTAAGTCCATACTTTTGCACAGACGTAAAATTGGTCAGTGACGTCGCTAGCAGAATACAATCCGCCTCTTGATGACGTCACTTTCCTAGCAGCAAAATAGTGTACAATTAATTAGAATACCTCTCTATACTTTTGATTTTGCTGTGTGATACAAGTAAACCATTTTTATTGTAATATTATAGAATCAGGATCAAAAGGAGACGACTTTGGATCCATTTTACGAGTCGCAAGAAAATCACAATCTGATTGGCGTGGCCAATGTGTTCTTGGAGGCGTTGTTTCATGACGTCACGCTGGACTACCACACACCTATCATCAGTCAACAGGGCGAAGTGGCTGGTAGATTGCAGGTTAGTTACATATAGTTTTTTTTTCATATTATTACTTTCATTAATGGTATCATAAATATTTTTCTATAGATTTCGTTATTTATTAATTGCCTTTGGTATTTTTTTAGGTTGAAATCAGTAGAGTAGCAGGCCAATTTCCTCAAGACAGAATTTGTGAGGCGGCTTCAGATAGTTCCGGTGATATGAGAGACGACGACGATCCCGCCGACTCAGCGCCACAGCAAGTATGTACTTCTAACTTGAGCCACATCACTGACCAACACATAGCATACTCTATGGTTCTATTTTATGTGTATGAACCCTCACTGGTGCGTGTATGTCACGAACGACGGGATGTTTCAGGTGACAATCCGAGTGGTGATAAAGCAGGCGGCGGGGCTGCCGCCGTCGCTGTCGCACTTCGTGTTCTGCCAGTACTCGGTGTTCGGCGGCACGTCGGGCGGGCACTCGGAGGCGGTGGTGGTGCCGCCCGTGGTGAGCGCCGACACGCCGCCGCCCGCGCCGCCCGCCGCGCCGCTGTCCCCGCGCCACCAGCAGCAGGTCACCTTCAAGTTCGAGCACAGGAAGGACTTCACCATCCCCCTGACCGAGGAGTTCATCGAGCACTGCGCGGGTGAGCCGCTTCTTGTGTTCCTCAAAATCTATTCGCAGGGGTAGGGGATAACAAAACAGGACGGACTACTATCATTAAAATTATTATTATACACTCGTCAGAAAATTAAGTAGTAAACCAAATTTAAAAAAATTGCTTATATTTAAAAGATTGTTTTCGTTTTATAACTGTGATTGTTGAATTACCGTTTTGATTAAAAAAAAAAACAATTTGTGCTTCTATAAACTTAACTTTATCTAAGTGTGTTACTTTCGTTGATTTATTTTGACGACCGGATGGCATAGTGTATAACGGACTGATATTAAAAGGTCGCTGGTTCGATTCCTGCTCAAGTCAAACATGTGCATGTCATTTAATGTTTTCTTTGGTCTGGGTGTTTTCATGTATAATATGTATGTATTTACAAAAAAAGTATATATGTATTTATATCAGTTACCTAGTACCCATAGTATAAGCTCTACTTAGTTTGGGACTAGAGGGCGTTGTGTGAATTTAGTAGAATATTATTATTATTATTTAGGTATTATGTACGTAACTTTTTCGGATTCAGTCAATCGATTTTTATTTTACGTACTTTATTTCATTAATATGTAACAATATATAATATGTCATATTATCTCTTTTAGAGGGTGCTCTCTCGATCGAAGTGTGGGGTCACCGTTCAGCCGGATTCAGTCGTGCCCGAGGCAATTGGGAGGTAGAACAGCAACAACTGGCTAAAGCGCGCTCACTCGCCGATCGCTGGACCGAGCTCACGCGCAAGATTGAACTGTGGGTTGAGATACACGAGCTGAATGATCAAGGCGAATACGTGCCGGTTGAGGTAAATTATATAACTAAAACAAAGAATAAGATTAATTAAAATAAATATTACAGAAGTTCTCTAATATAACTTAGCATTTCGAAGTAACTTTTGAGCAGTAAAATTTTACAACAAGTGTTTTGCTAATCTTATGCGGGTTATGAAGTTTTGGTAATTCTATTTACCGAGGGACGGGGCTCTACCGGCGAGGAATGGTAAATACTGCTTTTTTAGGATGAGGTATGGGATCAGGCAGGTCGATTCAATTTTATTAAAATAAAATAAAGTAAAATGTGTGTGGATTCAATTTAGTAGGTTTTAATTATTTAAGGAATTCCTTCGCTTGAATTAGTTATAAGTACTTTTAAGCAAGTACTTCGAACAATTATCGAGATATAATGGTGCCTATGAATTAGCCGACATGTTTGGATAGTTTTAGTTACGGATATTAGATTTAAAATGGATAACGATTTAAGTTTATTGTAATTATTTTTATTTGTTATACCCTCAAATATCTGAAACTAGTATTATAATGTATAAAAAGAAGGCATAGAATGATAGAAAGGGTGATGTGTAAGAAGGGCGAGGTTGTATCGGTAGTGGTGCGCAGGTGTCGCAGCGCGCGGACGTGTGGACGGGCGGCGTGTACCAGGTGCGCCAGGGCCAGCAGCGCCGCATCGCCGTGCGCGTGCGCCCCGCGCTCAACACGGGCACGCTGCCGCTCGTGTGCCAGCAGATCGTCAGCGTCGAGGTCGGCTCCGTCACCGTCCGGTACGCCCACCGTTATAACTCGTCTATTTTATAAACGTTTAGCCAAAAAAAGAAAAACACATTTTATTTCTGAAGTCAATCTCGTTCATGGGCGGTGATGGTCACTTTCCATCAGGTGACCCGTCTGCTCGTCTGTCCCCGCTGACATTAAAATTTAGTTCCGGTCTACTCTCGACCTTAAATATATCATAAAAGGTCTCGTAGTAAAGTATTAAACATCCATCGTTGACTACAATGTGATTCTATATATTATTGTAACCGATAGTTAAATCGGTATTCTACTAGTCTAAGTGATACTTTACTATAAGAATACCTTTTATGACATTAGTAAGATCGGGAATGGATCGGAATTAAATTTTGAAGGCATTTTAATTATGAGAATTAACCTTCTGGTTTTCTGTGAATCCTTTTGAAGTTACATATTAGCATTCATTTTTTTATTAAGTACATTTCTTGATGTTTTTGAGATGTGCTAATAATTTCGGGAATCTGTAAAACATCTATAAATTAAGTTGTATTATTTCAAAATGCGTGAATTTGGGCAATTCCTATGTAGTGTCTACGGAAACTCATCGTGAATAAACGAATTCTATACTATTATATAATTCTATACAGGTCGCGACTTCAAATGCCATTAGACTCATATCAAGATGAAGATTTGGCAGTATTACGGGAAAGGTGGAGCGATGCACTGTTCCGTCGGCGACAACACTTACACGCACAGCTGCAAGTATGTGTATCAATTAGATGTCGTATTCGTACTAACGCGTTCTATTAAACTAACTTATTTATCATAAACTATTGCATACAGACAGGACTATAATTATTAACCTGTTTCGTCTTGTTCCAGAAATTGGTAAACATGTCTCCGTCAATGAAAAGTGAACGTGATATGGAACGTGAACAGTCCCTCGTCGAGCAATGGGTTTCACTCACGGAGGAACGGAACGCTGTAAGTTTTCAATCAATATTTATAAACAAACTTTTTGAGCAATAGTCTGTTACCATATATAATAGCAATCTTATTTCGATAGTAATCGATATGAAATCTTAGTTTATTTATTCATTTCGGTAATTAAAATACATTTCAAATTTAATTTACTAAAATTGTCTTTTTCATTGTATAGGAATAGGAATCCTCTTTTTCCATCTAGATATTTTACACAAATTCTGGCCTAAATGATTGCAATTTGATTTATTTGTGTATGATGTTTTGTTTAGGTGCTGGTGCCGAGTCCTGGTAGTCCAATTCCTGGAGCTCCGGCGGCGTGGGTACCTCCACTTGGGATGGAGCATCACATACCTGTGTTATTCCTTGACCTCAATGGTAAATAATTCACTTATTTTATGACCAGTATATAGGCAATCGTTCGTAAAAGGCTAGCTTTGAGTATTTCGGAAATTCGATAAAATACAAAGTAAAATTTCTTCATCATCTACGGCCTTTAGTAGTCCATTGCTCGAAACAGGCTGTTTAAAATTTCTTAATGTCAATAAAGTTTTCTATGCATATTGATCAAGTATATAACAATGTTTTACATGATATGTATAACAGTTCTAACGAATACGATAGTGAAATATGTGATTTGAGAGGTGGACGTCAGACATACAGAAATCGTAAATCGGCAAAATAAGCAGATTCAACCTATACAAAAATTCCCAAGTTCACGATGATTTTTAAGTTTAATATCTATAACTGTGGAATTTGAATACATATTGAGTATTAAATGGCAGTTAAATTAATGCAATTATATGTTTCGTTAAATAAATATAGTGAGTGAGGAGAATAAAAAAAACAGCGTGAGGGGTCTATGGACCTCCGGTCGGAACGAAGTTCCTTTCGCCTTTTGGTAGACGTTTGCTAAATATTATAAATGGATGTGAGCGTCGACGCGTCAACTGAAGTATCGGCAAAAAGTCTTGTTACACATTTTTCGGTCTCGCTACATTCCGCTTAGAGCGTGTAAAGCGCAGTAAGGAACTTCGTTCCAATAACATTTGAATTGAAATATTTGAAGTAGGACTTGCCCGTTTTGTTTATAATTAGCTAAAAATTCATATATTTTCGCAGCGGATGATTTAACAACTCACCCAAGCGGTGAAGAAGTGACAGTAGCGGGCCAACATTCCATCTTGCCAAAGGAACACGGCAACAAGTTCTACGAACTTCAAATATTGCACCATCACGACAGGGATGTGTGTGCAGTCGCCTCCTGGGACTCCTCAATACACGACTCGCAATATCTTAATCGTATTACTGAAGGTATGTATTGCCCCTTATCACTGCGAAGGCGAAATCTATAAGGCGTAAGGAACAAATTTTGCAACAGTCATGAAACTATGTCACGTTTATAACTTTACTAGCTGACCCGCGCAACTTCGTCTGCGTCTCTCAATAGTAATAAATTTTCTCCGTTTTTGAAACATTCTTCATTGGTGCTCCGCTCCTATTGGTTTTAGCGTGATGATATATAGCCTATAGCCTTCCTCGATAAATGGGCTTTCTAACACTGAAAGAATTTTTCAAATCGGACCAGTAGTTCCTGAGATTAGCGCGTTCAAACAAACAAACAAACAAACTCTTCAGCTTTATAATATTAGTATAGATTATTTTTACATTATTGGGCTGTTATAAAATTAAAAAAATGCGCACTCTTGTGACTTTGCTTTGCCGTCATAGTAAGTATTAACATATGGCAAATTCATTTACAGGGCACAGGGTTCATCAATATTGAGCATTTTCTGAAATGACCTATACTATTTATCATACGAAATGGTTAGATAGATGTTTTACGTATCAACGCTTTTTTAAATGTAGATTTATTTATATATATGTGTAATTATGGAATATTATAATTATATGATATATATGTGTAGTTGTATGATATATGTAAATTTTGTTTAGTTTAAATGCTTATTGATAAAAAAATATAGTCAGTGATTACAATTGTAACCTTGGCGCACCTACCCTACAAGATTTCTACACCACCTAAAGGTTGGCTGGTAGAGAATGCCCAGGGCATTAAGTCTGCCGATGTATATAAGTCCATGAAGATGTAAATAAATATCTTTCTAATCTTGTTTTTAGCCAACGAACGCGTGTACCTGATACTAAAGACAACAGTGAGGCTGTCGCATCCCGCTCCAATGGATCTCATACTTAGGAAACGGCTAGGGTTAAACATTTACAAGAGGCAGAGCTTCACTGACAGGATACGGAAGAAAATTGTCAGGTTGGTCACGGTTTTACATAGTAAATCCTACTTGAGATGGTCCCTCAAATGGTTAAACTGGTTTATGGCTATAAAAGGAATATGTTGGTGGGGTCAGGTATTCAAAAGCTTGGTTGGTTGGGGTCATAGCATTCTCTTCTCCGCCTTGCTGCGCTTTTCAAATCCGGTGACTGGTTGTCGTTAGCTTGGTTGCTCATCGAATTCTTTGAAATTGTTTTGCTTAATACGAATTGTACTTTAATTGTGAATTGTTTATAGTCCTTTTTAATGTTTTTAGTTAGTACAATATTATTACTTGACATTTTGACTGTTTACTATTGTAAAAAGGTGAAAGAAAACAATCCGAATATTTCAAATTTTGGTTCTCATGTATATTGTGTTTGGAATGAAAGCATATTGTATAACTGTTTTTAAAGTTGCTTAAATCGGGACTTAGTAATAATATTTATAGATAGGGAATTTATTTACAGTACCGTTTCTCTACCCGATGCAATGATCAAATCACACCGTAAAGTGTGGTTATGAAGTCTCGGTTTACATATGCACTAATCACTTTTACGTATTTTTTAAATTATCAGTAAAGTAAAACTTTAAACTTTTAGAGACATTTTCTGAGTCTCAGAAACAAATGCCAATAGAAAGAGGGTAACAGTGATGACTCGGGATAAAGGCGAGAAAGAGACAGTAGTATTTATCCACAGTATATTACCCCGCCCACCACCAACCTCTACATATTTAATATACAAATGGTTAGCTATTACGTGGACAGGACAGACCAGCTGACCCAGACGGGCGTAACGTACGAGGTGGTGTCCAATATCCCGAAGGCGAGTGAGGAGTTGGAGGAGCGTGAGAGTCTCGCGCAGATCGCTGCCACCGGGGAAGAGACCAGCGCTGCTGATGGAGAAACTTACATCGGTTAGTTTTTTACAAATCTAAATACTAACTTTATGAACTGGTTAGTTTTTTACAAATCTAAATACTAACTTTATGAACTGGGCCTTGTATAGTTCATGAGTCTCTAAACTTAATAGATTTTAATATAAGATTTTAAACACAAACGTGTCTATTTGTTTCGTAAATTTTTTACTCTTGTTGATGTTTTACTCTTGTATTTTTTAAATTTAAATTCTGATCTTAGCTATGGTACTGTATATTAGAACTAAATGAGAAACTTTGAAATTCTCGATGGTCCAGGTAAGGAATATGGTAGATGAGTGTCAAGTTACAAAAGTATAGTTTTAGTAAACGTCAAAACGATAGGGTTTGGTACATTTTTGTGATGATCTCATCACGCCTTACTGTTATCACATCATTTATTTTGAAAATTACTTTATTACGACGAGGACGATTATAAAATAAGTTAAAAACGTTAACTTTAAGGTATTTTGTTGCCCGACTTTTGAAATAATTTATTTCATCTAAAATTCTATGGCTTAGGATAGATTTCCAATTACTACACTTAATAAATGACATCAATAAATCTTCTTCCCTGGAAATTTCGCCAATGTTTAGTATATTTAAACAAAAATCTGCTGTATTTAAATCGCTGATACGCCTTTCATGAATGAAATTATCTTTTAACAGAAAAATACACTCGCGGTGTTAGCGCTGTGGAGAGCATCCTGTCCCTGGACCGTCTGCGACAAAGTGTAGCCGTCAAAGAGCTGGAGCAGGCGCGCGGACAGCCCATCACCATGCGCAAGACCGCCTCGGTACCTAACTTCTCACAGGTAATTGGGCACCCAGCTTCTATACCCTCTGTACACAGCTGCAACACCGATTTATTTAGATAAACACACACGTTAGAGGCACGTAGGTACACGGTACGTAGATTTTAAAGCACATTGAGGCAAAATATTAATTTTTACTAGATCCGGCAATATATGAGCAATAGTATGGGTTGTGGATATTCAAATATTCTAAATTGCATATTAATGTAAAATTGCTTTTCAGGACGACAAATCAGATAAAATAATACTAGATTCTGTACGTATTATAGATTCTAGTGAGCATTTTGTTCATATAAATTCATTTGATCTCGACATGATTTATAGATTCATTGCTTAACACAGATTTTTCTTGTTAACTCTGTCCATTTGTTTATTTTCTAATTAATATTTGGTGTAAGGGTTACCGTGGTTCCTTACACAGATGTATGATAGAAAGTGATAATAAATAATAATAATTGATATGTATGCTGAGTTATGAGTGTCAAAATAAAACCGCTCTATATGACTGGTAAATGAACACTAAATTCATTAACTTGCGTATGTGCAGATTAGGTATATCGGCTCGGGGCAGCGTCAGCCGTTTTAAAAATGTAAAATATTCAGTTCACCGTATATTTGTTTAAGAACGTAACTGTCCCAGTATCGCCAACATTTTTAAATGAATCAATGAATATACACAGTGAAGGGAATGTGATACGTAATGTTTACAATAATAATGTAGTATAATATAATAATCGAATTTACAGGCAAATTTTCTTATATTTTGTAAGTCATGTCATTGTAAGGCTATCGATGTTGTTAAGCTTCTTAAAGTGAACTAATGCTAAAAGTCGATGTCGCCGATACATACATAAAAAGTGTGTAGTATTGTACGACACGTTGTAAATATCCTAACACATGTTACAGGAAAATACCATAGACACATTCTTCTATGCAGGGTCGAGCTTCTATTTCAGAATTTATTCCTTTATTAGTGTCGTATATCTGGTTCCTTATGTGAATGGTTAAATAGCAACAGTATTCAATTCAAATTCTGCTTATATAGCAACGGTACTTTGCTGAAATGATTTCAATAGGTTTCCTATTTTGATGAGCTTATCATATTTATATTCCTAAAAGTCGCAATTTTCTAAGCAGCAACATTAGACTAAGACGGTAGGCATGACAAGTTACCGCAAGGAGCTGCCCACCTAGGGAACAGTTATTTAAGGTACATGAGCTCTTGTAGAGCAATATTTATTGGTCTGTTAGTTCATCATCATCAACAGCCTTTAATAGTCCACTGCTTCACACAGGCTTCTCCTTAGAAAGGAGGGTTTGTGTCAAGTTTTCCTTCTCTTTGCGGTGCTGCGGTCCTGCGTGGTTTTGCTCCCTTAGTCGGGTCTTACGATACCCATGGGATGAACAGGGGTGGTGACACTCCCGTTTTTTTAATCCGACAGACTAACAGACAGTTCCGTGTGGTGACCACACGGAACTGTCTGTTAGTTGCATTATATAATTAGATCTCAGTCCGTACCATATTATATAGCCTATAAGGTTTTCAAAATCATTCTTCGATCTGAATCTAGACTTAATAAAATAAAATACCATTTCTAATTAAGTTTACATACAAAAACCGAAATGTGTCATCTAGAAATTATGATTACCTAATCTTCATAAAATCAAATTATAAATTGAAATATTTAGTTGACTTTGCTATATAAATAAAGACGAATCCCTGCTTAGAATAATGTACTCGTATTTTGCAAATTGTGTAACTAGCTGTGTACGCTTGCTAACTTGTGTATTGTCGCCACGCACCGGCAGCTGTCGCAGGCGATCGAGAACGCCGCCAAGAACGGGACCAACGTGAGTCGAGCATGACTGCAACAACCGCTGTTCACTCGCATCCTATTTTACATTTTAGTTTTCATTTCTTTTACTCCCACTTGCTGCTGAATATCGTATTCACAGATGCAGTGATCATCGGAACTAGTGTTTACCGTGTTGTGTAAATCCCTCATAAATTCAGCTAAAAATAGATTTATGCTTTCCTCGACGTCGTTTTTTTTGGGCTTTCTTATTTCACAAATTTAAATTTAAGTTAGCACTCCCCTGCATTATCGTTATAATGTAGTGTAGTCCAAGCTATATGATTCTATATTATGTGTTATAATTAGAAGTACTAAACTTCTACTGTCCGCTAGAGGAGAACCAGACAAAATATTCTTATTTATTAAATTTCAAAATTTAATTTTACTCAAATTGCTTTAAATGTATAGTATTTGTGTATCGTAGAATTAATATTAGAGACTGTAAATTGCATTTCAAATTTACTCTGTATACCTTTGACTTTTATCGTTCGTATTAAAGTCTTGTAGTTTTTTTTATAGTATGTGAGATTTCTATTACACAGATCATGCGCTTGGACTCCTCCTTTGAGTCTCTGACGGGCCTGGCGGCGGGTAGGTCGGGCAGCGTAGCGGACCTGGCCGACGAGACCCCGCGCTCGCGCGCCGTGCACCGACACTCGTACGCGGCGCCTGCGCACAACGACCCGGACATGACCACGCCCACTAAACCATTCGGACTCGGTAAGTTAACACGAAAGCTAATTTAAATCTATCTAATTTATACAAATACTCGTATGTTGTAAACTAAAATATTTTTTTACAGTACAAGAAACACACTCCTATTTCCGATACATTCATTCTTTACCACTCATACATTGTCATGCCTATAATATTTAAAATAATTTATTGATGAAAAGAGATACTTGCAGTAATTGCACATGTGCATACGAATAGTTAACTCATGAGCTTAAATAATATGTATCGTAAATTTAGACAAACGATATTTAGTGCATTTCAGTAGAATAAGTAACAGAACTTTGATTTAGTATGTACATATATCAATGCACGATAGACGATTTAGTATAGAAATTGTACTTACAACTAATCGTACATTGTATAGGTAAGATGTTAAAAAAGAAACAGGCGATTCATCCTCACGAAAATGTCACGACAGTACTTGAAACATCCACTCTTCATGATCTCACTGTTACATTATTTTATTTTCTACTTGCTTTGTGGCAACGCTATGGCTCGAGAGTTACTGTCCCCTTCTCTCTTGAACCCTTACTTCTTCTTTCTCTGTCTTATTCTATAATGTGAAAAACTTCTGTAAGCTTACAGATTATTATTACTTCTGTCAACCACCCTTTTCTTTTGAGATTTTTAATGCGAATGGAGACCCAATTTTCATAGTTATTTGATGTACAGTGTGTTAATTCACTTTCAGTTTGATTGTTAAATATATTATTGGTATTGGACTCCATTACAATAAATCTTAAAGAACAAGGTTACAATAGGGCCACAAAACGACTCCCAAATTTTGAAACTAACGTTATCTTTTCTGTATCTCAATCCCTTGCTACCTTCAGGCTCGTTCCTATCAGGTAAACAATGAAAACAATATGGCATTGAATCGGAATGGCAACTGTATTGCGAAATTATTAGACGAATGCAACCGAACGATTAAAAACTAAATAGATGTGTTGTGATCATTGTTACTCATAAGAAATTTTTGTTTGTTGTATGTTACCCATTGATTGGCTGTAAAGAATCATCTGATACTATTGGCATATCGAAGTCGAGTGAATACAAATACGGCGCTGAGATCATTTTGATAAAATTAGACCCTGTATTGGCTATTAGAGAAAGCGAGCTTCGAGCATCAAGCTTCTGTCGTTGTGTTTACTGTCTGTTTGTTTGCGTGTCTCTTTCATTTGCATGGACCGAGCATGACCTGTGATTCTATCCTCTCACTCCCACTTCCTCTACGTTGATCTATTTGCTGTGGATTTGAAAGACGAACGACGCTTTCAGTTTAGACATAACATATTGCTTATAAATGTTAAGATTAAACGATGACAGTCAAATAATGATTACTGTATATGGAATCAATTGTTGTAAAAACTTGAAAAGCAGTCCTACCTTTGTCTTTGTAGAAAGTAAAGTAGTGATAGTCTAATGAGATGTGACGTAGGTTTATGTGTGCTAGGAGACAGATTGCATGTAATGTAGACAGATATTGGCAGGCTACACCAAGTGGATAGATGATGTACTAAGCATGTGATAGACAAAACTGTAAATGGTTCGATATACTTCTGACTAGAAATGTGATTAGTTGATGTTCCGTGTGTCTAGTATAAATAAGAGTTGTCTGTTTGTAAACTACTAATGAATTAGGCGTAATTCAATTGTTGTGTTTAATAAAATTATTTGTTCATCTCCTGTTTTTCATGAAATATGTACTAGTAACAGAGCTGACATCAGAGTAATGTAATTGAATTTAGTGATGCTATGTTCGAACATATTTTTGTAAATATATTTTATTAATAGCCTAATGCTAAAGACTATTTGTAAATATATTGAGATAATAGGGTTTTAAGTCCATTTATGGTTTGTATTCATGGTGGTGCTAGTTTCAATAACCTACAAAAAAACTTTAAGGCGTTTATAAAATTACGCAGTAGTGAATATAGATACTAGAGATGGGAATAAAACTAATTTTGATGTGGAAGCTCTGTGTGTACTGACGAAGGTATTATGTGTTTTTATTGCAGCTCGGCCTACGTTCCTAAACTTGAATTTGAACCTGAACTCACTGCGACTACAGACGCCGAACAAGTGTACGTCCCGTTATTCAGTCGTAGAATCACTTTGTTCGTAGTTTCGCTTTATTTTTATTGACGGTTTTCTTTACATATTTGTATATTATTTCTAAATGCTCATTGTTATTACCTTTTCACTGTATTATAGTATGTGAGAATTAGAAATCATCGACATTAAAATTATTTTATTTGAACCTTATATTTTGATTGTACGATCATTTATTTTCGTCAAGTAACATTTTAATTTCACACATATTAATTAATACAGAGAAGAATGTAGGCATCTTTAAGAGTAAACATTAGTTTTAATTTTTTATTTGCTATATTCATAGTAAGCTAGTTAGATCATAGTAAGAACATGGCATGACAATCATTGTACAATCTCAAGCATGTAACAGTGTACATTTAAACAATGTTATTTATGTTAAGTGTCTTTTTATGGTGATTTTTGTTAAATAATTTAGTTATTTCTTAAGTGATTTAGGCACATCACAGTTTCTAGGTAATAAGAGGCAATGCACTGCTGTTTATTCTTTGATCTATTTCTAGAAGTGAATAATACAAGACTTATCGCTCGCTGTTCATTTCTAGTCTTGGACCTTTTTAAACACTACCTTGAAAGTGTTCAGGGTTATTTTTTGTACTTAGAAAATTTCATAATTTGTTTGTTTTTTCATAAATTATTCTTACCTAAGAAATCTCTTTAATGCTGGCTTTCTTTTAATTTGAGTGGTATGATATCTATGTACGGTTCTTTCAGCAGCATGGTACTAATGACGCAGTCTATTTACTTTGAGCGTCGACCAGGATATTTTAAATTAGGAACTTTTTTGACTTATGTTTTATTATTGCAGCGTCTCCAGCCAGTGGCAAGTTGGGCCTTCGTATGACGACGCTCCACGAAGAGCCTGGCAGACGTAATGATGAGGACTCGCATTCTGAACCGGAGTCGGCTCCTGTTGATGAACTAACTACGCCACGATCACAGGTAACCAGTATTACTATATTTATGTTATCATGCGTAATTTCGCAGTTAAAGGTGTCTTAAGATTCATTTGAAAAGAGAAAGAGAAAAGTAGTTTCAGGAGTGGTAACCATCTTAGATTTGAAAATGAATCTTATATTATAAAAATAATAATAATAATAAATCTCTTTATTGTACACCAGGTATAAATTTATAAAGATTAACTTAAGCTAGGTTAGACAGGTACAAATGGCGGCCTTATCGCTCAGAGGCAATCTCTTACAGGCAACCTTGGTATGGAGAGAAAAACATAAAGGCAAGGAGGTGTAGGGTAGTGGCTGGTGTACTAAGAAAATACGAGTAGATTAGAAGAGGAAATCAATGTAGAATCTATATAAATATAAAAAAAAAAGTGAAAATTACAAAAAAGTAACTGGTAGGACTAGGTCTAGGACTCAGATACGACTTAGGTGAATATATGACATAGGTACTAGAAGGTATATGCCATATACTATATGCTTAATAATATCTTTATAAATGTTCGGTATGTACCATTCCTCTTATAAATGAATTCTTATGGTCAATACATACAAATGTATGTATGTGTAATAATTAATAGTATGCAAAGAACACCCAGACTCAGAACAACAATTTGTGAATCGCAAAAAGTATTGTCCCATGTGGGGATCGAACCCACAATACTCAGCACAGTAGGAAGCGGTAAGGTTAAAATACTACGCCATCCGTGCAGTATTTTATAATATTACCTCTTGGAGATTAAACAAAATAGAGTATCAAACATAATAAAAGAGGTCCGGGCTCAGTTTGTTATATACATATCATAACTGTCCTCTTACAGCGTACACGCAGTCGCGCCACCTCCCGAGGTTTCCTCCCCACATCGAAAACGTTGGACTCTTTGCACGAGCTCGCCTGCGAACGGGTGCCCAACAAGAACTCACCATCGATATCATCTAGTGGATACGGTAAGCAAAATACGACTTCCTAGTCAGCAGTTCACCTTCACAAGCGTGTATCTCTACGAATTACTGACAGAAAATATGTTAACTGTAAAATGTGCCTTCTAATGCTGGTAGAATTATTAGAATGAGTTGACTAGTTGCAGAGAAAAGATAAATCCTTTTTAAAAAGAAGTTTAACCGACTTCAAACAATACTGACAAAGAATACTAAAAACCTAGCAGCAATCGTGGTTGATTTGGTGTCATTTGTCGAAGAATTCTGTTGTTTGTCACCAAAACTTATCATCATATAAAAATTAAATTGGACCATTTCGGAATAAACCCCTTTCGAACAAAAAAAGAATTTAAAAAATCATCATCATAGAATATTTGATAGAGTTCTGCTACATAAATAAAATATAAACATTCGAATTGATAACCTCCTCCTTTTGAAGTCGGTTGACGATAATATAGTTAATGTAAAGCTAGATTTATTTTTAGTAATTCATTTATTATAGGTGTACCGATTTCACTATGCGACGTGTGTTTAGTACAGCAATCCAAATTGAATACTAGTAATAATATGTATGAACTACTGAATATAATTCTTAGCAATTTTTTGAATGTTATAGCTAAAGGAATCTGTTGCTAATAATCGTTTCTTCTTCTACGTTTCAGGATCACAAGCGGTATCATCAACAAACTTGACAAACGACGACACTTTATCTATACGCAGTATGTCAGTCGACGACACCCCGGATTTCGACAAAACGATGGATTACACACACATCAGTCGAACTAAGAATTCAATGGCAGGCCTAAGAAATGAAATCACAGAACTACGAAACGACATAAATGATTTGAAAAACGATATTGTCGAGTCCAAAAATGAGTTGGACGACTCGTTATACGAGAAGGCAAAAACCCCAGTACTTACACCCGGATCTCGAAACCGTATAAATCCATTTTTGAGGGATTGTGAAGAAACCGAGAAAGAGGAGGAACAAAAGGGACAAATTTTGGATCCTTTAGGAGCTTTGCCGGTTGAGAGTGCGACGTTAGGCAGTCAGAGTAAAGGCAGTGATACTTCGCAGGTCAACGGTGATGCGACACAGGCTGAACAAGCAAACGATTCTGCGAATGACGGGTCACATGATGTGTCACAGGATACATCCTTTGGTAAGTTATTCGTTTCTTCTCGCCAATATACGATATCAGTCTCGTCAGTCTTGTCTGGTCTTCTCAAGTCGCAACGGAATTATTCTGCAGCAAAAAGGCTCTAAGATCTAATTGTAATTGTTGATGTTATAATGATAATTATGTGTTAATAATAGATATCTTTGTTTCTCTATTTATCCATCATCATTATTTTTCTTAATTTTTTTAGACGATTAATTACCCTAGTTCAAAAGTTAAAATATGATCTGTGCTATTTCTGGTCTCTTTGAGTATCATTTGTTCATGCCATTTTAAAGATCACATCTTCCTTTAATTTTTTTAAGATATCAGACATGTCTGTCCTTAATCTATTGTAGGTGAAGTAGATGCGGAGTCAGTTAGCTCAGAACAGTCAAGCCAATCGGCTGAGAACAGCCGCGAAGCGTCTTCAGTTGGCGAAAGTGATTCCGCGTCCCCTGGACCCGACCAGCCTGTTGTCAAGACGCATTTGCCTGCTGGCAAGGTAAATACCATCTTTTTAAATCAAAAGTTTTTCACGGTGGAGATTAGACCATAATTTACCGGTGCAGAATGAACGTTTAAGTAAAGATGGTAAAAATGGAAATAAACTTATGTGTAAGGCTTACTGTATTTTTAACCATAATGTGATTGTAACATAATGTGTGGTATTGCAGGTGGTCCGTCGTCGGGCGGGAGGCGCGAGCGCCCGCTCGGCGAACCGCGCGTCGTACCCGAGCGCGCGCGCCCGGCCCGCGCACGACGCGCCCGCCGCCCTGCACGACACGCCTGCCTCCTCCACCGAGCGGATTGGAGATGGTGATTATTATTGTCTAATTGTAAAGCAAATTATTAAAAGTGAATTCCATAGTTCAATTAAAATAAAAGATCAATATGATGATATGCCGTCCAAGTTCGCTATTTCATACATTTTTACAGAACCTAAGGTTTTGAAATTTCATCATCATTATCATCAACCTATCGCAGTCTACTGCTCGACATAGCGTAGTCCTTTCCATAGCACGTTGAGCGACTTTGAACTTGTGAACCAGCCGTTTTTGACATTTAATAAGAAGAAACTATTCTAACTCGACTAACAACTACTGCATAGTATGATTATGGAAATTAAACTAGTGATATTATTTATTTTCCTATAACGTGTACTAACTTAATATTTCTTAAAGATGGTCAAGTCAAAGTCACGATTTATAATATTTAAAGGAGACGAATCAGCGAGCGAGTGCCCCGGGCTGCAGAGCTGGATGTCGGTGGGCGAGAGCGTGCAGCTGCGCCTCAGCAGTAGCACGGGCGTCATCGCCTACACCGGCCCCACACACTTCGCCTCCGGCACCTGGATCGGCGTTGAGCTCGATGCTCCTACTGGTATGTATTATCCTTTGAAGTTTTAACACTTACATAGTAAATTATGGGAGGCAATCCTTCCTTATTCTTGTTTGTAAACAGTAATTTGGTGTCTAAATATCTAATGGAACGTTTGTCTTCATATAAACTCACTTCATCGTTCAGACCGACTGATGTAGTGCATACGTCGCCACGCTGTGTAATAGTTTATGTAACATGTAATACGGTGTGGCGACGTGTGTGACTATTGTTTAGTGTAATTTTATAAATAATATAATCCTATCACAAAGGTGATTTTTATTCTTTTAATAACAGCAAAGATAGAAAACAGTAAAGTTAATCTTTAATATGCCATTTTAATTTCGAAATGAATCACTGCCTCGAATGCTATGTAAATGGATGGCTTACAATGTCCGTGTGGTGGTTAAAGGCAAGAACGACGGGTCGGTGGGCGGCACGCGCTACTTCTCGTGCCGCGCGCGCCACGGCATCTTCGTGCGGCCCGACAAGCTCGTGCACGACCGCCGCGGCCGCAGCGCGCGCGCATACCGCGACACAAGCGCCTCCACCAAGGGTAACGCACATTTTTTTTTTTACTAAAACAATATTACCTTTTGAAACTAAGTTCCTTATCGCGCGATACACGCTGTGAGCGAGCGAGACCGAAAAACGTGTAACGATACTTTTTCTATGCTATAGCAAACGTCTACCAAAAAGCTTTACTTTGGTTACTGGTTCTTGACTGAGTATAGAAGAAATCTTTTTAAACAATTGTAAATAAAAATTTAAACATCTCCGCCTAATTTTTTTTTAGGCGGAGATGTTTAAATTTTTATTTAAATATTCAAAAAAAAAACTGATGACTTTCGAAGGTTTGAACAAATTTTCTTGAAGCTAAAACACTCGATCGAGTCACCTTTCATATAAAAAAAACTAAATCAAAATCGGTCTATCCATTTCGGAATTTTGAGGGTACAAAAATAGAAACCGTTGACATACTCAAAAATTAATTTCGATTTATTAAAAGATTTATTTAAATTCATTTAATTACCAATAATGATAGTTTAACCTTTCTGCAGGTGAAGGTCTACACAATCTACACAGATCGAGGAGTCGCGGCGACAGCATAAACGCCGTCGGAACTAAAACTAGAGTTAGCAAATAGACCACCGTCACACGAGGAGCGAGCCCATCGACAGACGACGTACACCGCTCGCTCCGTCCCGTCGACTCATCCACACCTCCCAAAAACTCGGACAAAGCCGGCGATGTATCGGACCGAATTTAAACTAACGTCCCACACTACCTGTATCATAGAATCCGCATTTTTTGTTGCAGTCATGTAACGTGTATGGTGCTTATATGTATTAGATGTTTATTTACAAGCAATATGGTTCGTCTTTGTTTGTTATTTATAGGGTACGATGCTGGGGAAACGGACGCCTCGGTTTTATTGACCGTGTCAATAAAATTATGTAGGCACGTTTGGACGTTTCCGGTTTGTGACTTCCGATAGCCTGCTGGTAGACTGTCGAAAGTATGACCGCCCTGTTAATGTACAGGGACTTGCAGAAGTGAGGAGCGGCAAATGTAAAATTGCATAGAATATTTAACATATTAAATGGACATTTACATTTGCGCTTGGCACTTTTGTTGTCGGCTGTACAACTGTTTACTTTTATTGTACAATGAGTTATATTCAATTCTTTTTCCAATTTTTTGTAAATAAAATGAAATTATTAATGTGATGAATTAATTTAATCAGGTTTGGAATTCATGTAAATATGTGAATTTGTGTGTATTAATATTTTGTATTCGCAATTGACTATCGTTTATTAAGTTATTTGTATAAATTTTTGTATAGTTTGTGGTGATAGTTGTTACGGTAATGTATACTTTTTTATGTATTTAGCTCATCGACCACTTGTGGGACTCGCACAGTTTTATATTCCGCACCGAGAATATAATTTCTGTGATTTCGACGTTTTACTATTTCTCTTTACTATACAATTTTATATGACATTTTTTAAATGTAAGCATATCATTAATTTTAGGTGCATTTGTTTTAACTAACCGAATACAAAATACAATCTAGATACTGGATGTAGTTAACGTGCATCTACAATTAAAGATTATGCCTCACAAAATCCTTTATATTATTCTAAATCTACATTTGAAAGTGCTCAGGTGCATTTTGTGTTGTACACACGATTGCCAGTTTCTATTGTGATAGTATCTTGCCACCTAACTATAATTTTTATTTTTTTTTGTTATTCGACACCTGCTTTTGCCCCTTTTATTTAAAGGTGTAACTCAAGTAGTTAATGAAATCGTCCAATATTACATCTTCGTCCTTGTAAAAGACTTTGTACTTAGTACACTAAAACAGCAGCCATTGACGAATATAATTGATACCCGACCAGTGACGTAACTGCACCGTTGTAAGGCGCAGGTGATGAGCGAGTTACTAAAATTAGCGAATACTGCCATATAATTGCTTCTACTTAAGTAAGAAACGTTTGTTTCTATTCTAATATTAAATTTTAAACGTTTATTCGTCATTTTTGGCGCGTCCTTCGATAGTAGTTGTGTGACTCTTAGTCGATACTCACCTCTCACTTGCGCCCTGAACATTATATCGATTAGGTTGTGTATATTCGAAACTTATGTAAATGTAGTCGTGAATCGGCATTCTGTAAATTAAAAAATGTCACTATAAAAAATATGTCCTCAATTTATTATCTCCATCCACATTCGAACAATAAATCGATGATGCATGTATATGTAATTACTGAATTAATAAAATACAAATCGATATTCTCTCCATGATAGTAGTATGAGAAATTATAGTTTAATTTTTTGAATAATGCCTAATATGGATAAATTATCAAGATATATTGTAGCGGCATAGTGCGCGTGTAATCATCGTATTAGGTAATGTCCACATTGTTCGCTCCGTGGTAATACGGAGCAAATAGTCTTAGATCACCTAATGTATATTCCATCCTCTTAGTAAAGTAATTGTTCGTAAGTACACTAAATGAGTACATAAATAGAGTTACACGCCTGGTTATTTACTAGTGTTTGTAAGGTCCCACTTAAAGCGGTCATCGTACCTCCCGCCTCCCCACTCGCCTCTATTCCTCCAGGGTAGTTGGGTGACGTCACATCTTAGAATACAAATACACATTTCATAACTCAACGTATCGTCGAATGTCGTATCGTAACAGCAATTGAGGCTTTGCATTTTTGTGTGACGTCAGCAACTATCTGAGTATACATACATATGTATATTTACATTTAACTGTAAGTTATTATTATAAAATGTTATTCAAAAATATTAAAACAGCTGTTTCAAAAGTATGCACTTGAGAATTTAATGCCAATTTTAGCGTGGCCGCCATTCCGTAGCGAGTGTATAGTTACGTAATGTTCTTGCTGCGATGAACTAACGATGACGCGGTGACGTCATCGCCTCTCCTCGCAACGGGACAGCGGCCCGAATAATTTGTAAGCATTGACTGACATCATATTTGTCACACATACATAGAAAAATCACGTTTACATTTTATCCAATGCTTATTAGACTGTCGTACTTAAACATTCCATTTTTTCTATACATTTATCATTCTAGCAGACGTTCAGTAGTAATATCGATGATTAGTTAGATTTTTGACTACAGAATGCGACTTAAATGGCGTTTGTTTTGCAATTTACGATTTGTAACTTTGAATGTTAAAGTATATTTACCGTTGTAATGAATAAATCTGGCCCTAACTAGGACAGCTCAATGTGTAGTCGACGTTATACAAATCTAAATGAAATATACGTATTTTCAAATATAGTAGGATGTGTCTTTGAAACTCTCGATGTGCTTATGTCCAGTAGTTTGGTAGAACACGGGCAAAGGACCACCTGTTTGAGTGAAGCGACGAACACTACCGTTGAAGATACGTGGGGTCGAGTAAGTGTATCGGAATCACTAGGGCTCCTAGGTTTAGGCAAATAGTGACCTTAAAAGCAGCGTCTCGTAGGTCCTAATTTAATTTTTAGAAATTAAGCTGACCATGTGCTGTGCTTTTGTTTTAAACAAATAGGTTTTAGGTAATTGAAATAATTTGTTGTTTATTATTATTTCATTATAGATAATTGTGTGTATTATTCGCAGTCAATTCAAGATTATCACACGCTTTTACGAATGTGAATGTATTATTTTATGAAACTGTGACATGCATGAATTTAATTTTAGCGTAGAGTTGATATTTAAGTAAATTAATTTGCCAGAATTTGAAAGTGTAAAATAAATATATGACAAAGTAATGTAATGTACTTTTAATTATTTTGTTTTGTGATAAATGAGCAGCTACTTCGTAGCGTAGATGGTTGCATCTTCATTATACACATAAAGCATAATAAAGAGATTTTAATATTTAAATACAGAAATAGTTCACTTCTAGTGGAGATATTTTTGCCAAGTAGCAAGTTCGAGTCAACCATCGCTGTCATTATCAATAAATGTATTATAAAATATTGTGTTCGTATTTCTTAGTAGATTAGTAGCCCCTTAAACACCCATTACAAAATACTTACACATATGTTACTGATTTCATTAGAAATTATTGATTTTTATTAAAAATCTTAAAAAAACCTAATTACTGTTGATACTTAAGTAGCACTTATATATTTGAAAAGAAATAAATAGTACGTAACATATATTAAACTTTATTTAATTTTTTTCTCTTTCAGTTATTTAAAAAACTACTTGTACGTATAATAATAGTCTGACCAATACGTAGTCCATTTAGTTTTTACTTGTTCTACGTGTTATAGTCATTAGGTCTATATCACAAATTGACACATATGAACCAACATGCATGTCCCTAGTTAGAACCTAATTAGTATTAGAAATCAAAACATATATACCTTCTATAGTATTTTAGCTAAATACTAGAGTTTCGGTGTACTATCAAAAATACCTTTTAGTAATGTTTTTTTCAAATCAGTTCAAAATTATTTATTCGATTTAAAAATTCAATCTTCATGGTTCCTGCTAAATACAAATATTATTATGAGTTTAAAACAGAGTAATATATAACTAAGACAAGATGGTTCTAGTCAAGAGAGTGTAAGTACGTAGGCAGAAAAACTCGAAAACAAAATGTAACACTTATTACAACTAGAAGCATTCGAAGTAATCGAATTCGGAGTGGCATTCAAGGACCTATAACATATGTGGTAACAAGTCCGCAAGGAAAATCGTCTTAGTATTCCACATTTTATTAGCTCCTAATAAGAATATACATAGAAATATATATATAGAAAATGGAGTCCTAATAATAATCACTAGGCATTCATATAAAAGAGGTGTCGGTCCGCACACTGATAAATTCAGTTAGTGCGAATCGACCACAAAAAATAAAATAAAAAAAGGGTCGTTTCGACCACTAAGCCAAAAAGGTGAAGTGCCTTACCTTGTTAGCTCAAGGTTAAAACTTCATACATCAAACTGTAAGCTTTACTAAGCTTCACCATTAATAACAAGTGTGAATGAAAAAATTATGAAAGCCCTGGCTCGCAAATCCTTTCAACAATTATATAAGTGCAGATGATCTTCGAAAGACTGAACAGATTTGTCAGTTATAGCTTGAACACCCTGAATGTTTTTCAAATAAAAAAATTAAAGCCAAGTCGACCAATCCGTTTCGGAGCTATAATGCCACGGACAGACATAGAAACACGCGTTGAACTTTTTACACCGAAAAAGACTGGAATGGGAGACAACTTGTAATAACTACCGTCCCTCTCATTTCGCGAAATGAGAGGGACGGTAGTCTATTCCGTCAGAAGCATATTCTCATCTCGCAGAAGATGTACGAGACATTGGAAATATAAAGAGACCCCGGCTTCTATTAGGATCCACAAGCTGCCCTTTACTTTTTTCTGAATTCAGACAAAACTTCGAAATGGTAAGTAGCAGAGGGGCTGTTCATTATGTTATCAGGGCTTAAAACTTTGTAGTTGTCATGTTGCCAACACCCCAGAAATGGAAAAGGCGAAGCCTCGCTTGGGGGCGTCCTTTGTAGGTTTCCTCTTAATAAAAAAGGCTTCCTAAGTTCCGTGTAGGTAAGTGTAGGGATTTTTTCATTAAATAAAAATACTAGGTGGGTATTAAGTGCACTTAGGACTTGTAATCTAAATCATACTGAAGAAAAATACTATAAGAAACAACTGCTTTCCTTTTGTTTGTTTTCTTTAAGTAATTGGTTTTATTCAAATAATTCAAACTCAAATAATCAAACGACTCGGTGACATCATGCACAAAATGAAAGGAATAGGCGAAGATTACGTAATAAAAGGTAATAAGTATATACTAAGAATTTATTCTAATACCCTGAGAAGCAATACTTAAGACACCACACAACATTGGGACAGAGGAAAGCTTTTCATAACTTTGCGTGCTTTAATGAATCTGACGTTGACTGTACTAAAATACTTAGGTAAAGAAATATGATTAAAGCTGTATGTAAAGCACTATTTAAAGTAACAGTAAAACAAACAAGTACCTATAATGAATATCGATATGCTCGCTCATAAATTACCAAGGTTTACATATACATATACATTTACAGTTTTATTGATGTCAGTACTAAACTCCGCTCTTTAGCAATTTATAAAACGCAATCATAGCGTAAGCGGTAGCGGCGACGTTCATTCTGCCTAAAAATAATATTTTTGCGAACTTATTGTACTCGTATAAAAAGGTATCTAGATAGAAATAGATTTTGTATGCAGTCTTTTAATTTTGCAAGTACTATACAGTAGGCATAAGTTCATACGTACGTACCTCGTACACATCTATTGCTATATATTCTCACTGCTGTGGTCAAGTGTTAGAAAATACTCGTAGACAATACTATCTGCCTGTGTCACCGTATGACTCTACTCGTTTACAAATTTATGAGCCTTGCGAGAAAAAACTAATTCATCAGATAGTCGTAATAATAAATTATGCTCTATTAGATGGTTAAGATTAATAACAAATAAACTTAAGCTAAGTTGTAAAAATAAGGAAACAGACAAAGAAGGGCAATTAATAAAAAGAAAAAGATTGAAAACGTAGGACACGGAGAATAAGTTACACATTAACTCACTCACTTTGGCTAAGTATCTGAAATAGTCTGTGAACCCAAAGTTTTGGATCACTGCTGATATTATAAATGCGAAAGTAGCTGTCTCTCTGTTACGCTTTCATGGGTAAACTGCTTTGAGGTAAATTCTTGTGAATAAAAGGACATATACTACGTTTTACCGCTATAACCGGATGGAGCTGATGAAGCCGCGGGCAAAAGCTAGTCTGCAATATCGTCCACTATCAATCAACAAAGGGCCAATGGTCCTTATTATTCACGAATGTGCGGGGCCAGCGTGGCGCCAGGTATCAACTTTAAAGAATTATACACGAATGTTGTGTGTTTTATTTTCATCCTTGTATGGGCAGTAGGTAATTGTTCACACATTATATTACATAATATTGTATGTCGCTTATAACTTGGACAGAAGGCACATAAAAGCGACATTTGACCTTATTCCTGGGCGACGTCGCGCGAGTGTCATCTGGCCGGCGGGCGCAGGGCGGCGCTCCTTGAGCCTGGTACGCGCTCATGCTCACTTACTGTCAGTGTACCGACAGCATATTTGTATCCCTGAGGAGACTTCTTTGTGTCACATCAATGTGTGTCTTTGTGCATACATACGAGTTCAAGCTGAGACAACGATTGTTAAAGTTAGGGTAGTAACGAAGTGTTCTAAAATCTACGTAAAAAAATCATCATCATCATCGGCCTATTGCAGTCCACTGCTGGACATAGGCCTCTCCCATTTCAAGTCACTTAGATCGATAAAAAAAAAATCTTCTCGTTTATCTTCACAATTTTGCTGATGTCTACATTTTGGCACCGCAAGTCATTTTAGCTAGAACACACTGATTAAAAACTTTTGTCTTGAGGCACTACTATAGTATTGAATGTAGACGTGAAGACTTGACGAAGATGAAGGTTACCAAATGATTAAAGACAGAGGATAATTCTTTATTACATCAACTGATTTAATGTTTATTTTAATGTTAAATAAAAAATAAGTAAAAAAATAATAATAATAAATAGTAAGTAGAGATTTAGATGTATTAAAATTAGCTGCAATATTTAAATAGATACTCGAAAAAATATAAATCTCTCCGTATACATATAGAGTATGATTTTTCTGTACTGAGTATCTAGGTTATATGTTGTTAATTAATGTGTGACTTTTTGTACCGTGCTTTACAAGGAGAATACAAGGATAACATCAAAATTTTAAATTGAATGTTGGAACCTAGTTACTAAGTCGCTTGCACCTTTTACTTGTCTTAGTCAGTCAACGAAATAACTAAGTTTGTGTGTCTGTATTCACAAGAAACAATTATCTTTGCTAATAACCTTGCATAGAAATTAAACATTTTAACATCAATTTCAAGTGTTTCGCTTATGGTCTAAATTTGGCAACAGAATAAAAATAAAAAATTGAATTTAAATTACTCTGAAATACTAAAAATATATTCTAGATTCTAAAACATGGAAACACCAGACTAATGCAAAGACTTTTCCATGTATACAAATATTTGCAGCTACTGGTAATTGACACGGCAACTTTCAGAGTGTCAGTCCAATACACCACCGCACCACAGAGGTCGACAATATTAATGATTTTTAATAACAAGCTTAATATTAAATGTTATAATTTTAAATCTTTTTAATAGCAATTTTAAGGAGTTCCTATAAATACATTGAACACAAGTTACCTTCTTTTTACTTCTTTTTACATTGAAGGGCGGTTCATGCTTCAAAAAATATTTCTAATAAATATACTCACTTTTTTGTATACCATACTATAATCTACTTTAGTAGCGCTGCCGATGGCTCGTTACAAAGGAGACATCGTTCCATAATGGCATGCCATCGGGACTTGCGTGACTTGCCATTTGCCTGGCTTTGCGTTTAGCAGCTCGGATTTTACCACAGACGTTCTGACCGTCGGAGCAGAAGCAAGGGCCTGAAAAATGACTTGAAATTAAACTCAAGTCCTCGAATATGGACCAACCCGGTCCATCATCGTCCAATCAGGACCCTCGCTTCGAATTTTTAGGTTCTTATACGGTAAAATCACTTAAACTAAAACCAGAGAAATGGTTGAGAGTGTTGGGTATCGAAGAGCACAGGTCTACTTTGAAAGACTTTGTAGACAAGCCTTTCCCTATCCTTCTGGTCGTGGTATTGACAAATACGCTACAGTTAGTACCGGTTATCTCATTCCCATGCTATCTCAAGAACAAAGCTGTGTATTTTGTAAAGAAAAGACCCGATGCTATTCCTAAAGATGGTTGCGCGCAGATGGTGGTATTTGGTAAGTTACTGTGCTGTTGTTTATTTAGTTTTGATGTTTATTTTAGTACTATTGATTGGTAGGGAGGATAATATAGCAGATTATTGTTGTTAAGTAAGGAATTGAGGTGATTGACTAAGGAGGTTACAGAATGCCATACAGAAGAGCCCAGTTTCAAAGCCTTGTTCACGGTATTCGCCTTTGGCTTTACACATTGACTTCATTTAAACTGTATTTCCATTTTTTATTACTGACCAAAGGAATAAAATCTGTCGCCTGTGTAGGTATTTTAATAACTTTTTTCACTAGCAATTGTTTTTCACATTTGGGTTTATGGCGGCACTTACTACCTGGCTTCAGATTGCCCAATCGTTTCCCTTCCGAGGGCTGGCGTTGAATAGATTCCTTCCGAGTTTCGTAGGGTTCCGTTTAATAAAATATCAAAACTGCTTGCGTTGTCGTAGTGCAGGATGATGCGTCGCTTTGAGTTAGATTTTCGAAGTTCGGCGATGACTTGTGGTAAAAAAACTGTGGTATACCACTCTGCTTTAACCGTTCTACGATCTTCAAGTGCAATAGTCGTAACATGGCCGGTTTTTACAACGAACGTGGCCACCATCTTCTTTGAAGTGCTTCGAGAACGAACAACTTTAGTCGGCTTTGGCTCGTCTTGAAACACCCAGATTGTAGATTGTTGTTTGGAATCAGGATCGTAGGCATAGTTCCAAGATTCGTCACCACTGATGATGTCGTAGACGTGATTTGACTCTCCTTGGTTGAACCTTTGCAGAGTTTTCTTACACCATCTGACGCGGGCCGCCTTGTGATCGTCGGAAAGCAGATGCGGTATCCAACGGCAAACTAGCTTTCTCACACCAAGCGCTTCATGCAAGATCTTCTAAATGATTGTTCCTGAGATGCCTAATAGAGCCTCTATCTCTCGATACGTCACATGACGATCTTCGAGAATTAGTTGTCTCACAGCAATGATGTTATCTTCAGTGAAGGCGGATTTTGTCGCGAGATTTGTCACTAACACTAGTATGTCCACGCTGGAATTCAAAATACCAGCGTTCGACAGTCCGCAGATATGGGGCTTCATCTCTGACGGAAATGTTAGCTCTTCAAAACACTGAAGGCCTCTTCTAAAGTTGTAGAAAATTATTGCACGAACATTTTCCTTAGAAAGATTCATTTTCGTGCGTAACCTGACAGATTCCAATCGACGCTGTGACTAAACAATAGCATTAATCCTAATACTTTCAACTGTTTTGAGATTCAAAATTTAAACATATTCGAATAAAGAACAGTTCCAAATTCAAAATTTCCGGGAAATATGGAAACGACAGAACTTAAAAGGCATGCCTAGTATAAAACCCCTGTTATTACAGTGTCTCGGTTCTTGGGGATTGGGTGATTACGCAGACCTCACGCAATGGTAACATAATTGACTTGCTTATATAGGTGATCTGGCTCCCAGGCTGATAGATGAATTAGCGGCTTTAGTAGATGAGGTCTTCGTTCCTCTACTATCAAACCCTTTAAATCATGAAGGCTGGCCACTGGTTGTCTCTCAAGATATCCTCAAACAGATACACAATCTCAAGAGCACTGTGTACGAGGTAAGGATTTCAAGATTAAGTGTTACTTTATTAATATATTTTATGCTATTAAAATGTATACACACTATAAAGGAATTAACATACTTACTGTAACTATATATTTATTTATTATAATAGAGCGCCCGAGGCCGGCCATCAGGGTTGTTTTTATTGGAAATACCACATACTCTTGGCTCTTGTGTCCCCTAGGAACCGGAGATCCGAAAGGATTTTCTACTCCGTCAACAAAACACAAAAAGGCTTCACTTCTATAAATATGCGTGCTATTTATTCATTCATTTTGAAGAACGCTATTTCTATTGAATGTACTCTATACTATTATTATGACAAATAATCTGAGAGTCCTGTAAATTGTTTGCAGTTGGTAATTTATTTGTATAAATGTACCTTGAACGCAGTTAATTTGTTTCGATTGCTGAGCTTATAAATGATAACAATAACTGTTAAAAAAGATTTAGGGAGACCCTACGAAATATGCTGGTGCTGGACTAAAACAATTAATACAATTGGTCTTGTATTTGCTGAACTAAACTTTATCTTCCCCCTTGTGCTACCTCTACTACTACTGACTAGGCCACAAAACAGACTAATAGTCAGGTTTCTCAGCAATAAGACAGGTATTATAGTCGTAACATACAATAAAAAACCTTTGTTTAATCAATTCTGTACAGGTAAAAGGTAAAGTAAATGGCCAAACAGTTCTTCCAATGCCGGTTGGAGTGGAATTAGTTCATGCGGCAGAAAAACAAGTGTTGAGGGGTGAAGAAGTAGATCTTTATCTAAAGAGTGCTATAGAAGGAGTTGTCATTAAGTGGGCTCAGCAGATAAATGACGTCATGATGGAGGATTCTGCTCAGGCGTTTGAAAATGGACAGAACCCGTTACCTAGTGTGGGTCAGTATAAAATTCACATTGGTGTTTAACACACACACTTCATTAGTCATATTGAGTTACCTACTGATTATTTGCGAAAATGTTTTACTAGTAACGTATGTTATGTTCTAAATCAAAGACATAAACGTATTGTCTGGCCAGGCGGCTTGCTTGTGGAATGAATTGCTTGTGCCTGTCAGATCGGCAATGATTCCAATTTTTTAAGAAATATGTATCATGATTAACCCGTGACCACGATCATATATTATAAGCATCACCTATAGAGTGATGTACTCATTCTAGAACTTGCCTTCTGGAAATCAAGGCTGAGCAACCTGAGCTATATATACGACCAGTTGCGCAGTGAGCGGGTGCGGTGTATGGCCGTCATACTAGAAAAAACTACATCTGCATACTACCCTTGCTTTAGCAGGCTATTCAAGAACATTGTCTCAGGTATGGCAAACGAACTTTTAGGTATATAAAGAGGAAAAACAGGTTAGTCATTCAATATATTCTTAATTCAATTATCTATAACAGGAACATGGTGGATTCGAATCTAATATTTTATTTAGACTGTTACATTCATATCAATATGAATATACAAATTGAATTGAATTAGCGATTTGATTGTTAATTATTGTTATAATTGATCAATAATAACTGAATTTGCATCATATATCACGCATTGCGTTACTGTAACAAAAAATGTGTTTATAATTAAAGGCTCGCTAGGTAATAGGTCTAAAAAAACTTTGTATTACAGCTCTTGCCGAAGCTCGAGATATAGATCTCTACCTCCGTACCTTAGAGCGACATTTCCAAGCTTTAGAGGATACAGATTTCACAGAATGTCTTCCACTATTCCGACCTTTATTCCATGTTATCTGCATGGTGTGGAGAGACTCAAAATATTATTGCAGCTCATCCAAAATTATCGTGTTACTTAAGCAAATTGGAAACTTGCTAATCTATCAGGTGGTTAAAAAAAAAATGATCAAAACTTTACTGATTAGGGCCTGCGTAAACGAGGCACGATCCCCGCCTGTATTGTACTGTATGGAATAACAGTCCTCCGAACAATCGAAAACATTGATGGACTGGACTAGAACAAAATACGGGGGAGTCCCCGAAAAAATCACAACTAACGTGACTAAGCGTAAACAGCGAACTTTAGTCCGCATCGAGAGTGATGGTACGTGTGGCGTACCGACAAATAATCGCCTACAGTGTACGTTGAGTCCGTGGTGATTTTTGTCCTTTGCGGATAAAAGTCCCTCGTCTGCGCAGGCCTTTACTATTTTTATGTTTAGTTGCAGTAAAATCATTTACACCATAATTTATTTGGTTAGGTCTCTAATTGCTTTGTAGGTATAGCTTGGCTCACGACGGTAAAGCGACTGTCAATCACTCAATTTATGAGTGACAGACAACCTGTTAAGTTCTTTTATTGTCTTGTTTTGTTCTTAATAATAAAGTTAGTTAAAAATCATAATACCTACACGTATATTAATCTAGTTACCTGTAATGCCAAAAAATATTTTTTTAACTTGTTTTTTTTACACTACTTTGGTAGTGTTCAATTCAGATTAACCTCGATAAAAATACTTTTTACGGGATAAAATATACCCCGTGTTCCTTTATGGTTGCATACTCGTATCAAAGAAACAAACAAGCTCTCTTTTGCAATTATAATAACAATTAGAAAGAAATAATTTATTGTATATAATGTATATAAGTAAAAACGATTTCGTACCACCCAGAGATATTCTCTAACGTTTTCATAGTACATTTATGAATGATTAATTTACGTCAGTTAGTAATTGACTGTGTTTAGCTAGAGTTAATAACTTTTACAATTTATCAACTTATGAATAGATATAGAACGTTAAAATAGTGTAGAATAACTTATTCTCATTTATTTTATTTTAAATTATTTACATTTCATATTATTGTATTATTAAGCCATGTAATAAAATGCTAATATGCTTTTAGGCGAAGAAATGCCTTGACCCCTCAACGTTATTCCATAGTGACATAGACGAAGCAACACAACGGATTCAAGTCACGATAAACATACTGAAAAAGTACAAAAACACCTTCGAATATTTTAAAGAACATCTGCCAAAATACTTTGAAGACAGGCGAGTTGTTCCCTGGACGTTTCATCCTAATGTTGTGTTTGAGAGACTAAATAAATTCTTAGACAGATTAAACACAATTCAATGGTTCTTCAAAACTGTTCTGGAGTTTCAAAAGCTGGAGAAAATTGAGATAGGCGGCATGAAGGGAAGATTATTGGGGGGTCAAATAAGAGAGATATCGTCAGAATTCGATGCGTATTTTCACGCTTTTGCATCCAAATCTTATGATGTGTTAGAACCAGATGACGATACATTTAATGTCGACTTCAAAGATTTCCAAGAGAACATAATTGATTTGGATCTGAAGTTATCGACGGTTTTAGTAGAATCTTTTGATAACTCCTCAACATTGGAATCCATTTTTAAGGTAAAATAATTGCAACTTAATCTGATAAATCATACTAATGTCAATAACGTGCTAACATTATTTAACGAAATCAATTTCAGCTTATTGATGTCGTGGGTTCCGTTTTGGATCGACCTTTGATTAGAAACGAATTCACAGCCAAATACGTCGAAATTATTGTCATGCTTGAAAAGGAACTAATTGTTTGCGAAGTAAGTACTTTCTTTTATCTTTTAAGAAAGACAACTCCCGCATTACGAATATATCCTGTCGAGGGGGACTTTACAAACATACATGAAACGGACACAAATAGCACAAAGACTCAGAACAACAATTTGTGGATCACACAAAGTTTCGTTCCACGTAGGATTTGAACCCACAACACTATATTCATTTTAACACTAAGTTACCTTCTATTCTGCATACATGATTCGTATGACTTTAACACATATTTGAATAAAAAAAATTTGAATCATAAGTTGTGTGTAAAACATAACATAACATGTAATATGTTTTAAAATAACTGTACAAAATTCACCCTTACTTATGTACGAAATAATATTATTAGAAAGGAAAACAACGTAAGGTTAAATTAGTTTTTGTGGTTAGTTGTAACTGTTGTAAGTACCTGGACAAATAACTGGGTCCAATAAAGAACTGCCTTTCAGGAACTTTTCAATGAGCAGAGTGCCCGAGCCCAGAAGTATGGAGTGATGGAAGTCGACGCTTACATGCCTCCGATAGCTGGAGGACTACTTTACATGACTACGCTAGCTACAAGGATCACCAAGCCTATAGCTAGCTTTCGCAATTTGCCGCACCCGTAAGTTAAGCTGGGTGGGGCAAATTGCGAAAGCTGATTATTTGGCTTGTATTCTTCTCTTATTATCCAATATTTCAATTGAGGTTTCATGTTTTTAATTACTCACAATGTATGCCGTAAATCATCACCTTAATTTGGTATCACAGCACTTCTTTATTAAGTTTAAATGAATTGCTTTGTAATGAACATATTAAATGAGATATTAAATTATATTAGATATTTTGTAAAACAGGATAAAGGGTACGGACGAAGCGAAGAAAATTTTTATAAGATACGGGGAACTCATTGAGAAAATAAACGAATTCAAGAAGAAATATTTCAATAACTGGGCGATGACCGTAGCCAAAATAATCGATGAGAAATCTAATAAAATGATACTTGCACGACAAGGATCAGATCTTGTATTGAATTTCGATCCAATGGTTAGTTCTATTTGTTATTCCAGATGTTATCGTAAGATATTTTAAGATAAGTTTTTTTGAAAAGTATTATAACAGCTTTCAGATGTTTTGAAAGAAGTTCATCATTTGCGGACAAACGAAGATTTTGCAAATGATTTACCACCAGAAAGCTTACAATTATTCGAGAAACAGGAGATATATAGACAGTATAGGATTAATTTAGGTATCACGATTGACTGGTACAATCAGATCAGGAAGAACAGTCAAAAAGTTGAGTTCGATCTTGTAGAAGACGAAATAAAAGCGATCGATTTGAGAATTGAAATGGCACAGAATGAATTGAATTGGAATTCGAATGGTATTTTATTCAGTATTTTTATAGTAATATTAACTTTCTATAGTAAATATCATAGAGTTGAAACTGGAAAGCTTATAATTAAAAAAATTGATAAAATTAAATTGAATGAAAAAAAATGTTTTCAGATCTGTGGGGTAATTTACAAGAATTACATAAACTTGTGGGTAACTTGTATGAAAGAATGTCAAAAATTCAAGATAACTTAGTTGAAATAAAATATGTTATGAAGGACTGGTCAGTTCAACCTTTATTTCAAAGAAAAGAAGAAAAAAAGGTTAATTTTAACTTTTTCCCAATATTAATTTCTTAATTATATTTATAGAGACTGCTGTTTGTACTAAAAATTTCTGTAGTTTATTTCCTTTCTTTGTATTTAAATTCATCTTCTAATTATTTTAACAGGATACATTGTTAAATTTAGAAGAGCGACAGGAGAAAAAAGAGAAGCGATATGGTGAAATACAGGATACGGCTAAGCGAATTAACGAGCTGTTAGCAGAAAACATGGAACTATTTAACATGCAAGATAATCAAGGCAGTGAAATATGGGGAAACTATGTTGCTTTCATCGATGGGTTGATGGAAGAGGCACTGTTTAAATGTGTTGCGTGCAGGTGAGACCGATGTTATGTGGACCAGATAAATTGGTAATAACAATCTAGGTGCTGTTACTTATATCGTCAGATACAGATCATTTCAGCAATATTTGTTAAAAAACTTGATAGTTATTTTATCTAGAAATATGAATGTAAAAAGATACAAAAAGGTCGTAAGTGCGAGTGTAACTCTCTTGTATCTCGAGCATTGAGAATCGATTCTTGGCTTTCCGATGCTTTCCGAGTGACAAACTTTCCTAAACCCTGTTAAGGCTTTCCTTTTCTTCTCTAACAATTCAAAAGTAAAACAATATTCAATAAATATAATCTTGCATGTTCATTCAATAAATATAATCTTGCATCATAAATGATAAAAAGAAATCTTCTCTTTCTTAACGTTCATAAAATATATACTAGGGTGGAGCGCTGTTGTATGGATTTTTCTTTTTTCCTAGTTTTGAATTCTAATAGGGGGAAATTAGTGCCTTACGTTAAAGTAAAAATAACTGTTCTTTTTCAGTTCGATAAAATAATATCTTCTGCCTCCGCTTGGGCCTTGAAATATTAAGATTTTCTGAAAAATCGTAGTATTTTTAGGGTTCAATGTTAAGTATATAAGAGGTATATAGGGAGGATAAATGATACTAAATTGTATATTTAAGATATGAATAATGTAATTAAACGCAAAAGTAGTACAGTTTTTAGTTATAACCAATAAAAACAAGTTTTCAGTCGGCCTTAAAATCTCTTTTTGTCTCAAATTTCGGCACTTTCTTACGGGATTCCAATTTAGCTTTTATGGCTCCCAATCGTGATGAGTCCTTACACTGGGAAGTGGCAGCTTCTGTCGTCAACTTTACAGCTCTTTTAACTGCTTGGGTATGGCAGGGAAGACGTAAAAACAATAGTTCACCCTCGCCACCAGATTGGACTATTTGTTAAATTTCTTGATCAGTTAGGTGTTTCAAGATTGGAGGTTCGGTAATAGTTTGTTGCCAATTTATCATATCGATATAATTCGACGCACAAAAGTTAACATCTGTCACTTCAAACAGCCTTGGTGATGGAAGTTGCGACATACTACTTGCTTTTAATACACGCCGGGCTGCCAGTTCACGAATGTGTCTCTTGTCATCTGTAATCATTGCAAGTAAGATGTTTTCAGGATGTGCAAAATAGCTATTGCGTTGAATGACAGGATCGATGACCTTTTTTAGATTTTCTGGCAGGTACCTGGAGGTCAATATGATTGTAAAAAGATGCCGAGCCCCATCTTTACAAGACGGTTTATTCTTAATGGAGAACCAACATGGGGCGTAAACTTTTATGACAAATGTAGCCAGGGTTATCAATTTATCTGATGGTTTTTCTGTTGCTACATTCAAACATAGTATCCGATTAGCACGTGTGAGCCAACGAGCATGAGATAGTCTACCTGGAGACCTATTCGCCAGATCTTCTGGAAAGTCGCCTGATTGTACCGCTGAGACAATATCGTGCAAGTATTTTTGATCTGTACTCAAATCTACATCCGTTGTTAGAAGCGGTTCTCCTTCGATCGGATGGAATTTTTTAACTGGCAATTGTTCACAAGTTTCCAGTGACTTTCCCAACTGCCCTATGCAAGACTTGGGTCCCGAAGTGGCTCCGTCGATATGTAAAAACAAGTGTCTCAAAGGAAGTTCGTTCATATGAAGTAAACAAATTACCCACTGGAGAGGTCTTTGCAGGTTTTTTCCAAGAGGCGTATAATTCCGCCATATTTCCCAGTATTAACATTTGTTCCATAACAGCCAATCGCCATAAGATGCTGTAGAGAAATGCTTTTCTTGGCCAAAAACCCTGTGATTGCGGTTTCTATTGCCTTTGCTGAACCTGTACTTGGTATTACGTACCCCATATAAATAGAATCCGGCTCCTGAATGAGCGAGATATGCTCTTCAATACACGTAGTTCTATAGTGTTTATTGCCTTTTTAACAAATTTTAAAGTTTTGTCTTTCTTGCCGTCAAAGTATAAAGCAGAAAGCTCTGTATTAATGACTTATTTCACTAATGTCTGTCGGTTTTTAGATCTCTCCCTTCGTAATTTATGTCTATCAATAACCTCAAAATCAGATCTAATATCGTGCAAAAAAAGATGATGCGATCGCTACCGCCGCCCTATCAGAGACTCCATATCTGTCGCACGTCTTCGATAACGTAGGTAAGTTAATATGTGAGATCTTTTTTCTCTTTATTTCAGGAATGCCATCGTCTGTAGTGTTTAGGAATTCATCAGCTGTACTACTACTCCGCTCGGATGTCGGTGAAGTCATGGAAACGTTAATTTCTGTATCAACTGACATAAAACTCTTACTCAAGGATTTACTTGTGGAGTTTTCGCGATCTAGTTTCCGTTTAAGGGTCTTTTGTAGTTTTTTTGTCGTAGTAATGTCAATTTTACCGATAAACATATTTCGAGAAGTTCGTTGATCTATTAAAAACGGTTGTTCCTGTTTGGGAACCTTTTTATCAGTCGGGCAGATGCAATGTGGGAGTTCTTTACATTTGCAAGATGCAATATCAAAGAGCAGCTTACTATTTTCGCGAAAACTTTCCAATTTTTCTGGAGAAATCTTCTTAATAGACTTAAGTAAATTCTTGCATTTCATGTCATATGCTTTTAACATCTGTATTATTCTCGTTCGTGTTACAGTTGGAATAGATGCTGTTAGCCATATACCTTCAATCCTAGGTACCACTATATCTGCTACATGTGCAAATGTTGGCTCCTTTGCGGTTTCTAATTGTAATTTGAGGTGATGTCTCGTCCATTCATAATACTTCATTACATCTTCATAAGTAGGTAGAGAATTGTCTTTAATATCCACGATACCACCAAAAAGGGAACACTTAAATGCATTGCGAGTCTTTTCCATGCTTCAAAACAAACGTCCGTGCTGTCACTTCGAGTAACAACTGTGCACTGATACGACAAAATATGTCGACAAGCGGGCGCCGCGCACTTGTCGACACTTGAACTGCCTCTTGTTTTAAGTACCTAAACCAACGTAAGAATACGTTTTTTAATGATTAGTAAACTAAAAAGTCTGTTGTAACTATCGAATAATAAAATAAAAAATTATAAGTGACATATTTACGTAGCGTCAAACATGGGTCTAAAAATCAATTTATTCAAAAGTTCAGTGACCTTGCGGAGGCAGATACCCTAAACTAATTCAAATTATATTTTGTGTGTGCTTAAACCCTAAATGCACCCTTTTCACGCTATTACATAACAATACCACGAAAAAAGTTTTTTCACTCCACCCTAATATATACACATTATTACTCGTTTAAAAGTTTAGATATTCTTAGTATCTCAAGGTCGAGTTTTAAATTTCAACGTAAAATAGAAGACCCAGTTAACTAAGTTCTTTTAACTAAAAACTAATAACTTAATTTTTGAAAATGAACAAAGCACGCCCCATCTAATGATTTTAAAAATGATTAAATGACCTTTACTTATTTTAGTTTGGGATATGTAACAGAACACATGAACCCTAAAAACAAGTTAGCTCCGCTGTTTGAAGCTCAACTAGAGTTATTGGACCCAGACATGGTATTCGTTCCAAGCCTAGAACCGAATGATGAAAACAGTTTCACTAAATTGTTAAATAGTATCATAAATGATATTCTAAAAATATCATCGCTGGTTGAGCGAATTGATAAACTAAAAGACGAATCGTACGAACAACAAATTGTTAACAACGAAGAAATTATTGAAATGAAAGAAGAAATTTTGGCTGGTATTGAAAAGGTACGTGACATTTAAGAATTAAAATTCCTTAAGATGTGGAGTGGTAGTCAAGTAATATTTATAATTGCACCAAATAATTACAACCCCTAAGAGATTCTGTAGATGTAATGTATGGATGTTAATGTAAAACATATTGTTTATAGGTGATTGACGATGCCAACGAATTTTGCAAGACTTTTGAGAATTACTCTTATTTATGGTTAGAAGAAAGAGACGCGGTAATGGAAATATTTCTCACTTATGGCAGAATATTAACTCCTGATGAAGTAGATAAACTAGTTTCAGAAGAAAAAGATGGTACAGCACCAGTGCCATGTGCTCCAAAAATGGAGGCTTTCCGAGAACAAATTGATCATTACGAAAATTTGTTTATGGAGATAGAAGATATGGCATCTTGTAAAGTATTTAACAACTGGTTTCAGGTGTGTTTAAATTACTTATTCATAATCAGATATAGTAGTAGTAAGATTTATGCGATATAAGTGTATCCTGTCAACAGCAACGTCTCAGTTTCATTAAATAAATATACTCATGATGAAACTGTGGTTAAAACATAAGGTTCTGACAAAAGTATATTTCTCAAAATATTGTTTCCTTATAGTACAACCAGTATTTTTGAATTTCCCATACACTATACTTCCAAAACTTTGTCAGTTGCAAAGTTATTTACCAAAGAATAAAATAAAAATATATAATAAAATATAAATAATAAAAGAAAAATAATATTTTTTATTTAGATCTGTGTTTAAATTCATGTTACGGACCACTAGTTTCTTATTTTATTATTAACTTAGTAGTTTAACAAAAATTTGAATTTTAAAACCTACTAGTAAATTATAGTGTAGTAATGTTTGATTTATTGTTGATCTGATCTTTTAAATTTGTTTTGTTTCTTTTACATTCTTTACCCGGCACATAATCAATAACACTTTTAGGTTGATATAAGACCGTTCCGTCAAGCACTCCTGAATACCGTCAGGAAGTGGGGCAACATGTACAAAGAACATTTGGTTAACAACGTCATATCGAGGCTTAGTGACTTGGGCAATTTTATTCGGCAAGCTGATGAAGGTATATTTTTCCTTTTTATTTACATTGCAAATTTACTCAATATCTACTTTATTGGCACAGTACTTTATAAGTGTTCATAACTTATAACAGTCCTTTGTAGTCCACAATGTCTTCAGCCCACTATATTGCTATTCTTCTATCTAAAACAAATCTTTATACATGAAAATTGGTAGTTGAATACACTGAATTTAAGAAAAAGAAAATGTAATTGATTCCAGGTTTGCTACAACCAGTACCAGAAGGTGACTATGAAGCTTTAGTTTCGGTGATGGGATATCTCATGCATGTCAAAGATCGTGCAGTCACCACAGATGACATGTTCCAGCCTCTAACTGAAACCATTGAACTACTGAAGTTCTATGACATGGATATACCTGAAGAAGTTAATGTGTTGCTGCAAGTAAGATTCATAACGAAATTTTTAATTTTTAAATTACATAATTGTCTACGATCTTTTAACTAGAAAATTAAAAAAGCATTATGTGAAAATAACAGATTTTTCATAGTTAATATCTAGAAATAAAAAAAAAATTATCAACAAACAAAGGTTTGACCAGATTATGTTTGGCAAGTTCCAAGTATTTTCCTTTTTGATACGGCTAATGGCTCCCTTTCCACTGAATAAGTTAAATTAGACTATATTATGAATCTAGCATATTTAAAACTTATTTAATTAATAATTTGAGGCGTTTCCTCATTCTTATTATAGGAACTCCCAGAGCAATGGCAGGCAACAAAGAAGTTAGCGCTAACAGTGAAACAACAAGTAGCGCCATTACAAGCAGCTGAAGTTTCGGGTATCAGGAAGAAAATCTCCACTTTTGATGCGCATGTAATTTATTACAGAGAAGTTTTTAAGCGCTATGCGGTAAGTGACATACCTTCATATTTAAAAACAAATAGGAGGAGGAGGTTCTGAGTGTACAAAAATTTAGATACTTTTCGACCGAAACGTTTAGGAATGAAAGATATTTCATTTCTAAAGAAAGTTGAAATGCCATGTATTACATATTTGTTTTCACTACACTTAATAAATATAAATCAATTTGGTTCTAGTTCTTTAGATACGATTGTGGAGATCCTTATGATGTAATGTCTAGAGTAGACTTCGAACTATTGCACCTAGAAGAAGAGATGAGCAGTATTCAAGAATCAGGTTCATTGTTTGAAGTCAACGTACCAGAATTCAAGTTATTGAAACAATGCAGAAAGGAGTTGAGGATGTTGAAGGTAAAAATTGTAACGCATTAGACCAGATTAGTCACCGTATGTCAGATAATGTATCGCATTACAAAACATTTTTTTTGTGTTGCAGCAACTTTGGGATTATGTACATATTGTGAGGACTAGCATTGAAGATTGGAAAACCACTCCTTGGCGAAAGATCGATGTTGAAAACATGGACATTGAATGTAAAAAGTTTGCCAAAGAGATTCGATTACTGGATAAAGAAATGAGAAGGTATGAAGTTTTTTTGTGTATTTTGTGCCTTTTGAAATTGAACCCAATGAATACAAGTACTACGTCTTTCAAAATAATGATGAACTTCAATTTACCTCACTTAATAAGAATAATAATAATTTCACACATCTCACACACGGCCGTCTGATCCCAAACTATTCAGAGCCTGTACTATGGTAACCAGACTGCTGATAAACACACTTATATATTTCTAAATATATACATAATATAGATAAATTACACCCAGACACAGAGCAAATGATCGTGCTCATCACACAATTATTTGTCCTGGGTGGATATCGAATCCTCCGGCTTAGCAGTCAGGGTCACTAACCACTAGACCAAGAGGCCTGTGATAACATATTTACTAAGAACTCTGAAGTAGTTCGTAAGTTTCTTTATCTTTTAACTTACTTCTTGGGTTTTTTTAGCTGGGATACTTACATAACCCTGGAAGCTACAGTAAAAAATATGTTGACATCATTGCGAGCTGTCGGTGAACTGCAAAATCCAGCAATAAGGGAACGTCACTGGGACCAACTTATGAGAACGACTAAGGTGATATTTTATGATTTAGGGGAAATAAACTGAAAAATAAATTGAATGTAAATAAAAATAATAACTAAAATGTAAATATAACATGAGTGTTGTGTTAGCACCTTTGAATTCAGGAAGGGTGAGAGATTTGAATTTATACATATTGCATGGTCGTTGAGAGTTGGTATTCCATTTAATTTTTAAGTTTCTCGAAATATAAATGTAGTTTTGAGTTATAATGGTTATACCAACTCTTCAAGGAATTAATGACAGCATGCATTTGCTTTGAATTGTTTTATGGTCATAATTGCCTGTCTTTTTTATCATACATCCTTGTTGTTTTGATTGTAAGCAAGGAATGATAATGTTATGTGAATGTTAATATGTTTGTGATTCACAGAGCTTAGCAGCATTACCACGTGAACTTACTGTAAGTATAAAAATGTTATGTTGAGATGTTTCTGTAAGGTGTTCTTGTATTTTATTTTGTTTGTTTATTATTTTATTTATTTATCCTTTCTAATTGTACACTGCTTCATCTAAAGCATATTGTAAATAGATAAATAAAACTTGTATGAATTAATTTTTATGTAGATACGTAAGTACCGTTGACTTGTCATATAAAAATACAAAAAAAGTTCAAATAGCAAATAATCTGTTTTTAAATACGTAGTTGGGAGAACGTGCTTTAAGACTTTTATTGTAATGAAACAGGTGAGAATTGTTATGGATGAGGATACTACGTTAGCAGACTTATTGGCTCTAAATTTGCACGAATGCGAGGAAGAAGTTAAAAATATTGTAGATAAAGCAGTAAAAGAGATGTCAATGGAGAAAACATTAAAAGATCTTAACGCTACTTGGAGTCAAATGGAATTTGAACAAGAAATCCATACTAGAACTGGTTGTGTTTTATTGAGAGCTAGCGAAGAACTTATCGAGACTTTAGAAGAGAATCAGGTGATATTTCATCTGATACAATAAATGTCTTCCGAAAATATTTTGTTAATGTGTGGTGTTTGCGTGTATTATAACATAAAGAATAGGCCTGTTACTCACAACGCTTCTGGTAATGTGATTGACCATTTCAAAACCCATGCCATTTGTTGACATAAATAACTGATTTAACTGTTTATTTAGAAATATATAACATATTATGTTTTAACTTTTAGGTGCAACTACAAAATTTGATAACATCAAAATTCATAGCGTACTTCTTAGAGGAGGTATCTGGTTGGCAACAGAAACTGTCAATAGCAGATCAGGTCATCACCGTATGGTTTGAAGTGCAAAGAACTTGGACGCATTTGGAAAGTATATTCATGAGTTCTGAAGACATTAGAAAACAACTCCCAGAGGATTCAGCACGTTTTGATAGGATTGATTCTGAGTTTAAAGTAAGTTTTTTTTGTTTATTATGTTTTTATTAAAGAAAGCTTCTTTTATTCCTAAAGATTATTTGGTTGATCGAGTTTTTTCACACAAAAATGATTTGCAGATACTATCAACAGAGATGTCTAAAACACCTAATGTCGTGAAAAGTACGAATAAAAAAGGTTTAGTTGAGGATCTCGATAGCATACAGAAAGACTTAATAATCTGTGAGAAAGCTTTAGCAGAGTACTTGGAAACTAAACGGCTAGCTTTTCCAAGGTTTTACTTTGTGTCTTCCGCAGACCTGCTTGACATATTATCTAATGGTAATCAAGCTGATCTGGTTATCAGGTAAGTTCACGTTTTAAAATCAATTTTCATATTTTGAAAACTTTTAGTACTGATTATGGGTTAGTTGGATAGAGTTATAAGTTTGTCTTGATTTCATGAGCTTGTTATTTATTGTTGAGGAAATAATAAAAATATTTGTAACTAAAACCTATTTATTTAAGCACGCATGTTTAAATTTTCAGACATCTAACAAAATTGTTCGACTCCATGGCAAGACTCAAGTTTATAGAATCTGAGAACCCTAATGAGAAGGTTGCGTCTGGTATGATTGCCAAGGATGGAGAGTTTGTACCATTTCATGGTACTTGTGATTGCACTGGAGCAGTAAGTACATAGCATTAGAATATTAAATCACCTACTTTATACAACCATAGGATCACCAAACCGGGTGATTAGATCATCCTAAGAATAATTGCGTTATTATGTGCTAATATTTATACATTTTATAAATGCAAGTAACGCGATTATCTACGATTTCAGGTAGAAATTTGGCTAAACCGGTTACAGGATATAATGAGGTCCACAATTCGTCACTATTTCGGAGAAGCGTTTGTAACTTACGAAGAGAAACCTCGAGAACAGTGGCTCTTCGATTTTATGGCTCAAGTTTCATTGTGTGGCACACAAATATGGTGGACTACGGAAGTAAACATGGCTTTTGCAAGACTTGAAGAAGGTTACGACAATGCGTTAAAGGATTATTATAAGAAACAGTTATCACAACTGAGTACATTGATCTCTTTGTTGATTGGAGAATTGAGTAAGCAAGACCGACAAAAGATTATGACAATTTGTACTATAGATGTACATTCACGTGATGTTGTTGGTAAAATGATTCAAGGGAAGGTTGAAGCTGGATCGGCGTTCCAGTGGCAGTCGCAACTGAGGCACAGGTGTCGGGAGTTATTGTTGAATCATCCGCACTTGGTATCAGGTTTTTTTCATTCACACCATAACTCATTCATTATTTATTGGCTTAATGGTTATATTTTATGGAAGTAAATCCTAATCCAAAGTAGAGCCTTCTAAAGTAGAACCCACTCGTACTTATTTATGTTATGTTTAACCAGTTTTGTGTTTAAGGTTTAACCAGATCATAAATCTCTGTTATTTTTACGTGTTAGTTAGGTACCAGTATGAGGCAATATATCGTTACGTGTTTTTAAAAGATTATACGACTCATCGTCCTTAATCACTTTCATACATCAACTGAATCCAAAACGAAGTATGTATGTAATGTTTATAATATATTATGTTTTTATTTTAATTGTGCGCTTTATTCTTCGTCTTGGTTCATTTACTATTCTTATAAAACATGTTTAGGAAAGTTTTAAATTAAAATATATTTTTTAATACATTTAAATTAAAATGCTTTAATACGTATGTGTATAGTTTGGATGTGTGAGTCTATGTTACCATTTACAAGTAGCACAGAAATCATTTTATACAACTAATCATCTGCAGGTAGTTTTTTTTTTAAGTATGGTAACATTTTAATCAGACAGTTTTTAAATTAGGAAAATTTATTAACTATCTGATTTAAATGTTTACTGTTTGACTATTGGTAAATGTCTCAGAAACTTACTGTGTCATGTATGCCTTATTTTAGATGGGGCGAAGCTGAACATCATTGTTTTGCAAATATTTGCGACGCTCAGTTCACATACAGCTATGAATATTTGGGAAACACTCCAAGATTAGTCATTACCCCACTTACCGATCGATGCTACATTACGTTAACGCAGGTCAGGCTTCAGATTCAGACGTCATGATTCTTCGCAACTCTAGAATATGATATCTTGTAGTTTATTATTATTACTATATTGGCTAGAATATAAAATGAACTCACTATATTGTGAAGATTTCTGATATTTAAATGTATTATATATATTTATATATATATATATATATGTATATATATTTATATTATTATCCATTACGATGCTCCATTAAATGATTAGTGATTTCACATCACATCTACACCCTTTAAAAGTCCACTGCTGGACATAGAAAGAATAGCCTCTCCTTAGAAAAGACATTTTGGCCTACTATACCACACTGGCCAGACGCGTTGGTATAGGGTTTGTGTCAAGTTTACCTTCTCTTTGCAGTGCTATCGTCCTGCGTAGTTTGATCCCTTAGTTGGCTCTTACGACACTCATGGGTTAAATAGTGGTGGTAACACTCCGTATTCTTAATCCAACATCACACAGTGATTTACTACATCATTATTTGTTTCCCCAGTCTCTTCATTTAGTTATGGGAGGAGGTCCAGCGGGTCCCGCTGGTACTGGAAAAACTGAAACTACCAAAGATTTGGGCAGAGCCCTCGGTATTATGGTATATGTCTTCAATTGCTCCGAACAAATGGACTACCAGGTAGGGCATATTTTGAATTTAGTGGAATATTGTTCCTTTTTATGTTCTGGTTGAAATAAGCTGTTTCACCAATAAAATTTATCGTAAAGTAAAATGCTACTTGAAACGGTATTAATTGATATTTTTGTACACTTTTCATAGTCTTGCGGCAACATTTATAAAGGTTTGGCTCAAACTGGAGCCTGGGGATGTTTTGATGAATTTAACAGAATTTCGGTTGAAGTGTTATCTGTCGTCGCTGTTCAAGTTAAATCTGTGCAAGATGCTATTAGGTATGCTTTATTGTTCTAATAATATTTTTCTATTATTTATGTTACTAAACATCTTAAGTAGGTACTGTGATTATATTGAGTATTCTGATTTCAGAGACAAGAAAGAGAAATTTAACTTCATGGGGGAAATAATAGTCCTTGTTCCATCAGTTGGAATATTTATCACGATGAATCCAGGGTATGCCGGTCGCACGGAATTGCCTGAGAATCTCAAAGCTTTATTCAGACCATGCGCTATGGTTGTACCTGACTTTGAACTTATTTGCGAAATTATGTTAGTTGCCGAAGGTTTTCAAGAGGCCAAGATTTTGGCGAGGAAGTTCATAACGTTGTATACTTTATGTAAAGAATTGTTATCTAAACAAGATCATTATGATTGGGGTTTAAGGGCAATTAAATCCGTACTGGTTGTAGCTGGTTCCCTTAAGGTAACACAATCGAAAATCTATAATTCAGTATCAATTTTAGTAAACATAGCTATGTAAACATATCAAACTATCTAGTTACTTCCTAACTTGAAAATAATTATAAGATATATTTTTGGTGCAAATTTATAATCCCATAAATCTAACTTTTAAGTACGTACGATAATATTTATATTGTATATTATTGACCTTTAGAGAGGCGACCCTGGTAGACCAGAAGAAGAAGTCCTAATGAGAACTCTTCGTGATTTTAATATTCCTAAAGTAGTAACAGACGATATGCCAGTATTCATGGGACTCATAGGGGACTTGTTTCCTGCTCTCGAGGTGCCAAGAAAACGTGATCTTGAATTTGAAAGAACTGTTAAACAAGCTGCTATGGATTTATTATTACAACCTGAAGATAATTTTATTCTTAAAGTTGTACAGTTAGAAGAATTACTTGAAGTTCGTCATTCAGTATTCACAGTTGGTAATGCTGGGACAGGCAAGACACAAGTATGGAAAACACTGTTCAAAACTTACCAAAATCTAAAAAAGAAGCCGATATTTAATGATTTGAATCCTAAAGCCGTTACAAATGATGAATTATTTGGCATTATTAATCCTGCCACCAGAGAATGGAAAGATGGACTACTATCAGTATTAATGAGAGATCAAGCCAATTTAGTTGGCGAAAACCCCAAATGGATCGTTTTAGATGGTGATATTGATCCTATGTGGATTGAGTCATTAAACACAGTGATGGATGATAATAAAATTTTGACACTGGCTAGCAACGAAAGAATAGCACTTACTCCAACTATGAGATTGATGTTTGAGATTTCTAATTTGAGAACTGCTACTCCAGCTACAGTTTCCAGAGCGGGTATTTTGTATATTAATGCACAGGATTTAGGATGGAATCCGTAAGTTTATTACTTTGTAGTAAACTATTTTGTATTTATGTTTTTATATTTAAGCTATTTGTTGTAGATATGTCACAAGTTGGGTAGAAACACGCAAGATTCCGGCAGAAAAATCGAATTTGGTCGTCCTCTTCGATAAATACATTCCTTCGTGTTTGGAAACGGTTCGAACTCGCTTTAAGAAGATAACTCCTATTGTAGATATGGCTCATGTGCAAATGCTGTGTCATTTGTTAGACTGTTTACTGGTACCCGAGAATACTCCAGCAGAATGTCCAAAGGAATGGCACGATATTTTTTTTGTATTTGCGTGTGTTTGGGCTTTCGGATCTGCAATGTATCAAGAGGGTAGTCTTGATTATAGAGTTGGTAAGTATTGTATTAGAGTCCCTATAGGTTGATATTTATATAAAGTTATATTTTATTTATTTTTATTTTTTTATTTTACATCTTCATGCACTTATGTACATCGGCGGACTTAATGCCCTGGGCATTCTCTACCAGCCAACCTTTAGGTGGTGTAGAAATCTTGTAGGGTAGGTGCACCGAGGTTACGATTGTAATCAATGATTATAAATAATTGTTTATCTAAAACTAAGCAAAATCTACAAATATTATGCATATAAGTTATAATGTAATACAAATATAATTACACATATATATAGAAATAAATATAGATATAAATACATATTATTTATGTTTGTACACTGTGAATGCTTGAATTTAGGAGGTGTACCATTTGTTAAGTCACTTCCGCCATCTCTTCAAGAAGGTAATTATGTACATTCCTTTTAAATGCGAAACGGTTTGTGGACATCCTGATTTCGAGTGGGAGCGCATTCCAGTATATATATATAGTTCATACCCATGTTTCTAGAATTTACAAAATGGTGGTTAAATGAGTTTAAGACCATTAAATTTCCACCTGGTGGCACCGTGTTTGACTATTACATAGACCCGGAAACTAAAAAGTTTACTCCATGGACTGAGAAGATTCCAAAGTTTGAATTGGATTCTGATATACCCTTACAGGTAATACCGTAACATCATATTTTCTATTTTTTATTTTAAAACAGAAAGGCAATTTACGAATTTGTATTTATTTCAGGCCGTTTTAGTCCCAACGGCAGAAACAATAAGAATTAGATTTTTTTTGGATTTGTTGATGAAGAAAAAACATCCAGTTATGTTAGTTGGTAGCGCTGGTTGTGGTAAAACAGTTTTAGTCAACGAAAAGTTACAGGTGTAAGTATTAAATTTCATTTTGCATGAAAAATAAAGTCAAAGTATATATCAAGCAAGTGAATGTATGTATAACAAATAGTAATATGAGCATTTAGATACCATGAAATTTTATTTATAGCTTACCTGAAACATATGCAGTTCAATCAATACCTTTTAACTTTTATACATCATCGGAGATGCTTCAAAAAATTCTTGAAAAACCTTTAGAAAAGAAGGCTGGTAGAAATTACGGACCTCCTGGGAACAAAACATTGATATATTTCATCGACGATATGAATATGCCCGAAGTAGATGCCTATGGAACAGTTCAGCCTCATACAATAATCCGACAGCATATGGATTATAATCATTGGTATGATCGAACAAAACTGACTTTGAAAGACATCCACAATACTCAGTACGTTTCGTGTATGAACCCCACATCGGGCAGCTTCACTATAAATCCTAGGTTACAGAGACATTTCTGTGTATTTGCAATCAGTTTTCCAAATGCTGAAGCTTTGAATAACATTTATCATTCAATTCTGAGTCAGCATTTGACTAATCCAGAATTAAGGATTAATCCCCAAATTTCAAAATTATCAGGTACCTACTCACTTTATATCTGTATTTTCAAATTTAAAGGTACTTTGATGTTTCATTGTATGTTTATTTTTCACAGGTAATGTAGTAGGTGCCACTATAACATTGCACAACAAAGTCTCTCAAATATTTTTACCGACTGCAATCAAATTTCACTACATATTCAATTTGCGAGACTTATCAAACATATTTCAGGTACACACTACTTATTTTATTTTCTAAAACAGAGATTTCAAGTACTAAATTCTTCTGTGGCATATGATAAACGCTTCCACTTTTTTAGGGTTTCTTATTCAGTACAAACGAATGCCTAGTGAATCCGTCCGATTTACTCCGTTTATGGCTACACGAAACTAGTCGTGTCTACGGAGATAAATTGACTGAGGATAAAGATATTGATGCATTTCTCAAAGTTCAAATTGATATATGTAAGAAGTCCTTTGAGGTAAATATATAAAATTGACAATAATACTTTTCTAAACACTTTTTATTCATTTGAAACTATTATTAAACTAAGTAACATTCAAATCAACTACTAAATGTGATTTAAAATGTTACTATGATTTTGCTTCCCATTGAAATTCATGGTAATTTATAGTTCCAATTAAAGTTGATTTAGATCAAAGACAGGTTTCTTTAAAAAAATTGAAATATCGTGCTTGCCGTAACAATCATTAATTATTGATATTTAGAAAGACATAAAAATAGACTAGAATTATTAGATTTTTAATAAGTAGCTTCTGTGTGAAGTTTACACAAGAAAATATTTAGTATACCCAATATGCTTTAGGACATAGATGAAGGCGTAGTGTTCGAGAAACCAAACATTTTCTGTCATTTTGCTGGTGGCATCGGTGAGCCCAAGTATATGCCGATCTTGTCGTGGGAGCAATTGAGCAAGTTACTCTCTGAGGCCATGTCGAGTTACAACGATCTCATTGCTGCAATGAACTTGGTGTTGTTTGAAGATGCCATGATGCACATATGCAGGTAACGAAATTGTCATCTAAGGTATCGTAAAACCAAATCTTGACATTCCTATGATTTATCTGTTTACAAACTTTCTGAGGTAAAGCTTTTCGTTGTCATAGAAGGTCCGGAAATGCACACGTGATTAAAACCGTATCTGTTTAATAAATATAATAATGTTTTAAATTGCCTTTCGTTTATACTGCATAGGGGGACAAACGAGCAGCTGAATCACCTGATTTTAAGTCTACGACTACCCATGGACAATTGTAACTCAAGAGTCATAAGTGAGTTGACGCTCTTTGAGTCTCCTCAAAATCAGTGGGAGTAGGGGTTTGGGCGCCGGTAACCTAACTCACTTGGAAAGCAACGAAAGAATAACTTAACACTGGTTTTCATAAGGTCGTGGTATGACTCCGGTTGATCCAGTCCATTTGTGCCTAAGCATGCATAGCTCTCCCACCAGAGCCCCAATGAGATTTAGAATTTCTTATTTTTCTAACAAATTGCACTATGTTGTTTTACTGATGCTCATTAACATTTTGTTTGTGTTTATAGGATTTCTCGAATCCTGGAGAGCCCAAGAGGTAGTGCTCTATTGATAGGCGTGGGAGGTTCTGGTAAACAGTCACTGTCTCGATTAGCATCCTTCATTGCAAGTTTAGAAGTTACTCAGATACAGTTGAAAAAGGGATACGGCATATCTGATCTCAAGGTATTTCTTCGATATTATTGTTATTTGAATATCCTTTATCTTTTGTTAAGCATCTTTGTTTCAAAGTAGGATTTAAAAAAATCTTGTCTTGTATAAACTTACCAAATGTCTTCGTTTTCAGAATGAACTATCTCAGCTATATATTAAAACAGGTCTGAAGAACGTCGGAATTATGTTCTTAATGACAGATGCACAAGTGGCTAATGAGCAATTCTTGGTACTTATCAATGATTTACTAGCATCCGGTGAAGTGGCTGATTTATTCCCAGATGACGAAATTGAAAATATCTTAGCTGGTGTGAGGAATGAGGTGATATACCTAATGTCTATTATTGCCTGTATCAGTATATATAGGATTCAATAGCTTTTCTCTACGAGTATCAGTATAATTTAAGTCTGTAAATAGAATAAGTTTAATTGATTTCTGTTTTATTTATATTTTTTCTTACTTTCTTTGTGCAAAGGTGAAAGGCGCTGGCTTGCCAGACACTCGGGAAGTATGCTGGAAGTTTTTCATAGACAGAGTACGAAGACAGCTAAAAGTTGTGCTGTGTTTTTCGCCTGTTGGATCGACTCTTAGAGTGAGATCGAGAAAGTTTCCAGCGCTTACAAATTGTACTTCTATCAATTGGTTCCATGAATGGCCTCAGGAAGCTTTAGTCTCAGTTGCTATGCGATTTTTAGAGGAACTAGACGCATTACCGGTAAGTGTTTATGTTGAGTTTTGCGGTTTTTATTATATAATTAAATGTAATTTGGAAATGCTAAAAGAGATGACATATAAAAAGTTAGTAAATTTCATACGATTTTCGCGTATCATTGTCATTTGTTTTTTCCCAATAATTAACTTGTTAAATACACTAATTTGGTGATTGATTAAAAGTAGAAATCGAAATAGACGTGTAAATAATTATTGTGTAAATCTTTTTTTTAAAGCCAGTTAATTTTTCAGGTTGTTTTAAAAGATTCGATATCACGATTTATGGCATACGTTCACACATCAGTTAATACGATGTCTAAAGCTTACTTGTCCAATGAGAGAAGATACAATTATACTACACCCAAAAGTTATCTCGAACAAATTAGTTTATATGCCAAGTTGGTTAAAAATAAAACTGAAGAACTACGAGCAAAAATTGTAAGGTACGTGGTCATTCTATACATGTGTCTTTATATTTATCAACTAACTAGCTATTGCCCGCTGCTTCACTCGCTAAAACTTAAATTTGAAAATGATGAACTTCCCTTATTCATTTCTTATTTTACCCCTTATAGGGTGAAAATTCGAAAAAAAATTTTAGTGGGTGCTTACAGCATAAAAAGCACAAGCTGCTATAACTTAAAGTTTGTAGTCCCAGCAGTTTAGGCTCTAGAATATAAATCCTGACTGATTTAGTCAGAGCAACTTATTTTATTTTAACAATGTCACACCTCTTTTCACAAGTAAACTTTTGTAACAATCGTTGTCCATCAACAATTTTCACGTAAAACCGGAGGTTCTAGTACAAGTTTATTTCACATCTTTTCGGTCACCGTGACGATCGAGTACAAGTGAAATAAACTCACACAGTTCTTTTCCTATGTCCCGTATAGATTTACAACTTAACTTCCATATAAAAGTATGTTTATAGCTCATTTACACAGTGTTTTAAGATAAAGAAAAGATTACGTGAAGCAAACAATAAATTAACGTATTATTTTACCTCTTTAAGTAACATTCAGAATAAGTGTTTAATGCAATAGTAATATTTAAATGTTAATGTTTTTAGACTGGAAAATGGTTTAGAAAAATTACGCTGCACAGCATGCCAAGTGGAGGCTTTAAAAGAAAAACTGGCAGTACAAGAAATAGAACTACATCAAAAAAATGAAGCCGCCGACAAACTTATTGAAATGGTTGGCGTTGAAACTGCAAAAGTACAAAGCGAAAAAGCCCTCGGTAAGAATATGAGTCTGACTAGTAAATATTCTAATTATAATAAAAAACTCCAAAAACAGTACCTTGTTCTACCTAAATATTCATAAAATTTTAGCCGATGAGGAGGAAGAGAGAGTAGGAGTAATTGCCGAAGAAGTATCTAAGAAACAAAAAGATTGTGAAGAAGATTTGATAAAAGCAGAGCCTGCTTTAGTAGCGGCTCAAGAAGCTCTGAATACATTAAACAAAGCTAACCTTACAGAATTGAAATCTTTCGGTTCACCACCTGGAGCTGTGACCAATGTCACTGCCGCCGTGATGGTATTAATGGCACCCAATGGAAAGATTCCAAAGGACAGAAGTTGGAAGGCTGCCAAGGTAGATTTTTAATAATGAAATTATTATAAATAAGTATTATTGTGATTTATCATTTGACTTTCAGAATAAGAAATAAATAATGTTTATGTATTATTGACCAATTAGGATTAAAATACTATATAATAATATATAATGATATACTTCGGTCATTGTTTTTAGAAGAATACTAATTGTGGTTTATTAGGCAGTTAAAGACGAAGGTGATAAAGATATTTTGGTTATCCTGAAAATAATAGAACAATTAAATTATAGTTTAAAAAGTTTATAATCTTTCCCGGGACTTTGACTATCTCTGACGTTGACGTTGACGTTTTTAAGTAGGTTAAAATTACGTTTGAAGATGCCGTTAATTACATAAATACATAAAAAGCTAATAAAAGCGTGTTAAAAAAGGAGATATGTTTATACAGTAAATATCATTTTGTACGTTCTTTGTAGATGGTGATGGCAAAAGTAGACTTATTTTTGGAATCTCTTATAAACTATGATAAAGAAAATATCCATCCTGATGTCATCAAAGCTATTCAACCTTATCTAAAGGATTCAGAGTTTGAACCAGGTAAAACTAATTTGAAACTTATTATGTGAATAAAAGCATAGGTTGATTCTGATACTATCACTCAATTAATTGCATATTAAATTTTTAGAATTCGTAAGATCAAAATCTGCTGCAGCAGCCGGTTTGTGTGCTTGGGTTATTAATATTATAAAGTTCTTTGAAGTATTTTGTGATGTTGAGCCTAAACGAAAAGCTTTGCAAGCTGCTAACGCTGAATTAGCAGCGGCTTCTGAAAAGTTGAGGTGTATTAAAGCTAAAGTCGTGGTAAGTATTTTTTTTTTTTTTTTTTTTTTTTTTTTTTTTTTTTTTTTTTTTTTTTTTATAAAAAAGACAACTCCCGCATTAGGAATAAATCCTGTGTCGCGGGGGACTTTACAAACATACATGAAACGGACACAAAGAACACCCAGACTCAGAACAACAATTATGCTCATTTCATACTTTTCGATGTCATGTTCGAAATATGTTTTATTATTCTTATAATCACATTCAGTTAGAACTAATCGTAGGTATAACAACAATATATTAGTCATTTACCCTATAAACGACTTGCTCAGAGAAGGTGCTGATAGGTCAATTGATGAGGAGTATCGCTGCCGTTATGTAGGGTTGTGGTACTTAAAACGTAGTTTTACTCCTTCTTTCCTCTAACTTCAAATGGCAGCTGTATTCAAATAACATTGATAGAACTAATCTAATTTGTAACTAATAGAATCTTAGAATTCTTGATGTAATAACTTTGGTAACTTTAGGCTCTGGAAGAACTCTTAGCTTCATTGACAGCAGATTTTGAAAAAGCTACTGCCGAGAAAATGAAGTGTCAGAGAGAAGCAGATGCAACCAATGCCGTCATTCAACTTGCCAATAGACTTGTTAATGGGCTTGCGAGTGAAAACGTACGATGGGCAGAAGCTGTATCTAGGTAAACATGCACCTAAATATCGTCTTATTGTACCACAAACTTCAGAAACTGTTACAAACCCGTTAACATACAAAATTAACTATTACATGATTTCAACAAAACATTTTGCTTTTTATCTCACAAAGTTACCACAAAAATAGAACTAATACTATGTTACATAATACAACATACAGACCATTTATTGAAGGGGCAAATGGCGATAAAACCACTTCAATGCGATGCAACATCAGCGCCTTAAAATTTCAATTTCAGACCTCTACAGTAATTTAAAATAATAAATTATTAAGAAAAACATTAAGCTGATATAAATACCTGTTGTCTTTTAATATGTTCTAGTTTAATGCAACAAAGTACGACACTACCAGGTGATATCCTTTTGGTCTGCGCTTTTATATCTTACGTTGGATGCTTTACAAAGCAATATAGATTAGACTTACTACACAAGAACTGGCTTGTTTTTCTGAAAACATTAGAGGTAAGCATTTTTATAGTTTTACCACTTAAGTCATTCATCGAGATGAGAAAATATGACGAAAAAATAATATCATTTTCTTTTAAGCCCCCAATACCTATCACAGAGGGATTAGATCCACTTACCATGCTGACAGACGACACAACAATAGCGATGTGGCAGAACGAAGGTCTACCGTCTGACAGAATGAGTACAGAAAATGCAACTATCTTATCTAATTCTGATAGGTGGCCGCTTATGATTGATCCACAGGTAATTGTTAAAATTGATTAACATTTCAGTGAAATACAATGAAAATAAGTATTGTGAAAATTTATTCAAATATGAAAGACATACAACATAAATAAAAACAAATACAACACAATTAATACTTACAAATTCTTAAAATTGTATCAAAAAGCTTTAAAATTTGCAGTTGCAAGGTGTGAAATGGATAAAACAGAAGTATGGAGACAAACTGCAAGTTATACGCTTAGGTCAAAAAGGCTACTTAGATATTATAGAAAAGTCTATTATTAAAGGAGAAACAGTGCTCTTGGAGAACATAGGAGAAACGGTAGATCCAGTTCTGGATCCATTACTTGGACGAAATCTAATAAAGAAAGGAAGGTAAGAGTTTTTAGTACTTAGTAAATAATGCTACTTGGTCTTTTAGAAATTAAAAGGAATAAGGCGAAATAGGACAATGTATTATGATTAATGTATTCGAATCCCGTCATTAAACAAAAAAAAACTTTTTGATTGCTACGGTTTTCATACTTTAAAGTGACTCTTTTTTCAAGCAGTAGATTTTTTTAATGGTAAGCTGACAGTAAAGTTTAAATGATTAATTATACATCACTAAATTCATTCAGACTAATAGAAAAAAGTATTGTTTTATTGCAGGGCAATAAAGATAGGGGATAAAGAAATCGAATATAGTTCGAACTTCAGACTAATTCTACACACGAAACTTGCTAATCCACACTACAAGCCAGAAATGCAAGCTCAAACTACATTGGTTAACTTCACAGTCACCAGAGATGGTCTTGAAGATCAACTTCTAGCCGAAGTAGTAAAGGCTGAAAGACCAGACTTAGAAGAACTAAAAGCTGACTTAACCAAACAACAAAATCAATTTAAGATTCAATTAAAAGGTTTAGAAGATGATCTTTTGTCAAGATTATCTTCTGCTGGGGATAATATTCTTGGTGATACTGCTTTGGTAGAGAATTTAGAAACTACAAAAAAGACAGCTGCGGATATTGAAAGGAAAGTAAGTTTAATTAACCCATAAAACTAATTTTTGTTTCCTTTTTAAGAACCGAGGTCGTATTAGTCATTAATTGGTAAAATTTATTTGAAAAATATTCTTAAAGTAAAATCATTTTAGGTCTCAGAAGCTAAAATAACATCACATGAAATCGATGAAGCCCGAGAATTCTACCGACCAGCATCGGCCAGAGCCTCTTTATTATACTTCATCTTGAATGACTTGAATACGATAAATCCTATCTATCAATTTTCCTTAAAGGTAAGTTTTTTGTAAGTCTGAAAAATATCCGAATAACATGTGATATATAATTAAAGCGCGTTAATTCAGGTAATTATGATTATGAAACTTATGGCTATTATGGAACACGATGGTTTATCATCAGCAGCCTATCGCAGTCCACTGCTGGACATAGGCCTCTCCCATTGCACGCCACTTCGATCGATTTTTGGCTTCTTTTAGATCTTAACGCGATGGTTAAAAAGTTAAAAACGTTATTGTTAAAAAGCATTTTTATGATTATTTTTTAGGCATTCAGTGTGGTGTTTCAAAAAGCAATATCCCGTGCGGAACCAGCAGACGAAGTCAATCAACGCATTAAAAATCTTATCGATTGTATCAGTTATTCGGTATTCCAATATACTTCGCGAGGACTCTTTGAGTGTGATAAACTGATATTCGCATCGCAGATGACTTTTCAGGTAAAAACGAATGGTTAGTAAGAGTAAAACTAAAAATATTTTGCTTAGACAGCTTCTAATTGAAAGAAAATTACAGGTACTTTTAATGAGTGAAGAAATATCTCCTGTAGAATTAGATTTTTTCCTCCGTTTCCCAATAAAGCCTCACGTGACTAGTCCAGTAGACTTTCTTTCTCACTCGAGCTGGGGTGGTATATGTTCTTTAGCAAGTAAAGATGAGTTCAGAAATTTAGATCGAGATATAGAGACTTCACCGAAGAGATGGAAAAAGATCGTTGAGGTTGAATGTCCTGAAAGAGAAAAGTTTCCACAGGTAAATTATTATTTTTCCTAAATAAAATTAAGAGTGCTAAAAATTTATAATTTTATCCTTATTTTATAAAAATATTAGGAATGGAAAAATAAAACGCCTCTTCAAAGATTATGCATGATGCGGGCTTTACGACCCGACAGAATGACGTACGCCGTGGCGTAAGTACACTATTTTGATTAATCTTGGAAAATTTGTAAATTTTGGTAGCTTACTGAAATTTTTGGTTTTGGTTTTAAGAGCCTACATTGAAGAGAAAATGGGTAGTAAATACGTGGAGAACCGAACGGTGGAATTTAGCAAATCTTTTGAAGAAACAAGTCCTACGACTCCAATATTCTTTATACTTTCTCCAGGAGTTAATCCATTAAAAGATGTGGAAGCTTTGGGCAAGGTCATGGGGTTTACGGCTGATAATGGAAACTTCCATAATGTATCGTTAGGTCAAGGCCAGGAGATAGTAGCTGAACAGGCTATGGATGAGGCCTTGGTAAAGGGTCACTGGGTTGTTTTACAGGTAACGGATAAATGAGAATGTGACTAAAATTAATATTCAGACTATTTCTATCTTATTGTTTTTTTACTACTGTTTATAAATACAGTAATAGTGTCAAAATCTTTTTAGAATATTCATCTAGTAAAGAAATGGCTACCAAGCCTTGAAAAGAAAATGGAGAGTTTTGCGAATGGTTGTCATGATGAATTTAGGCTATTTATGTCAGCTGAACCTGCGGCGACTCCAGATGCTCACATTATACCTCAAGGAATTTTGGAGTCAAGTATTAAAATTACTAATGAACCTCCTACAGGAATGCAGGTAGCCAAAAGTTTTAATTTATTGTAATTCCGTTGAATACGTTGAATTTTTGTTCACTTGCTCAATATAGAAACAGTGTGCATTTGCGTGCATGGTCCTCCATTCAATTGTTTGTTTTTTAAGGCGAATATTCATAAAGCTCTAGACAATTTTAATCAAGAAACTCTGGAGATGTGTGGTAAAGAAGCCGAGTTCAAAGCAATATTATTTGCTCTTTGTTATTTCCATGCGGTGGTAGCCGAGAGAAGGAAGTTTGGGCCACAAGGATGGAATAAGATATATCCATTTAATGTGGGTAAGTGTTACTAGATGTGGTTATTTTAAGATGGTAACTTATTTAATGAATCAGGGATAAGACGCAAACATGTACAATTTGTAGTTAACATTTGTGAAGACTTGCTAAAACTAAATATAATACTTTAAATTCTGTTTTCAGGTGACCTTACAATAAGCGTATTTGTGTTGTTTAATTACTTGGAAGCTAACTCCAGAGTTCCCTGGGAAGATTTAAGATATCTTTTCGGTGAAATAATGTACGGAGGACATATCACTGATGATTGGGATAGGAGACTTTGTAACGCATACTTAGAAGAATTGATGCAGCCGGATTTGGTAATAATTTTAATGAAAGTTGTTTTCTTTTTTCTTATATAGGTACTTTATACGTGGTTTGAAAAACTTTGCTATCTAAAAAAAATTAAAATATATTTTATGCTTAGAAAGTAAAATAAAACAACTTCCCGGAGGGAGTTTGCTTACCAAGAGCGAAGGACAGAGATGGTTTTTTTTTCACAAAAGGCTTTCACAAAGTACATCAACCGAGCAAAAGTTCCTAGTAAAACCCAGAGGAATATTGCAAAAGATCTTTCTTTTGGCAATTTGATAAACCGCAGTGATAACTAATGCTTTAAACATTATTATAAAATAAGTTTTCGCCAGCGGTTACTCAATCTTCTTATTTTTTGACTGGTGGCATATTATTCATTTTTAATTTGTGCATCATGACGGCAACAGAAATTTTAAAAATAATTACATTTAGGTTGACGGTGAACTTCAACTAGCTCCCGGTTTCCCAGCACCACCCAATACTGACTTCGTTGGTTATCATCAATACATTGAAGATGCAATGCCAGCAGAATCACCTTACCTATACGGTTTGCATCCTAATGCCGAAATAGGTTTCCTTACGACTACGTCGGAGAACTTGTTTAGGACTATATTTGAAATGCAGCCCAGAGATGCGCAAGCTTCTGGTGCTGCTACAGTTACTAGAGAAGATAAAGTAAGTAAATTGTTTGTTTTACTTTGCTATTCTATTCAATGTTTTTTGTGACTGTCGTCTAATCCCAAACTAGGCAGAGCCTGTACTTTGATAACCAGACTGCTGATAAACATACTTATATATTTCTAAATACATACATATTATAGATAAATTATACCCAGACACAGAACAAATGACCTTGCTCATCACATAATTATTTGTCCTGGGTGGAAATCGCACCCACGAAACCTTGTAACTCATTCTTAGGTTAAATTATCATGGTTTGGTTTTGCGACTCAAATCGTTATGTATTAGAATATATAGTTGAAGTGATTTCGTACATACTCATACAATACATTTTTTTGATGCTGTCAATTTTTTATTGTTTCGATAAGATAAGACATTATGGTGAAATCCTGAGTCATATTTGTATGTTAATAGGTAAAACAAATGATAGACGAGATAATAGAGAAGCTTCCAGAGGAATTCAATATGGCAGAGATAATGGGAAAAGTAGAAGAAAGGACTCCATATGTAATTGTAGCATTCCAGGAGTGTGAGAGAATGAATTATCTTACAGGAGAGATGAAGAGATCGCTTAGGGAACTGGACCTAGGGCTAAAGGTAAAAGTTACTTTAGAAAGCATTGAAATTATAAAATAGCATTCTAAGACTATGTTTATTCTTCTATCGTGGCTTGTACGTAATAAGCTTGAAACCATGCTACTAATCATACAGATTTCTGGACTCGGCGATTTTGCAATACTCAATGAACGAAATGGTGGTAGGGTGGGTGGCTTAGTATTGTAAAATAAGTAATTAGTCGGTAGAATAAAATTACCAGGCGTTAACTTAATGCAATTTAGAATTTTATTCTTATCGTCATTTTATTTTCCAGGGCGAGTTAACAATTACCTCGGATATGGAAGATTTGGAGAATGCATTGTTCTTGGACCAAGTAAGTACAAACAGTACTCACACTCCAATTAATTTTACTACTTTATATGTTTTCTGTAATCCAGGTACCTATGATATGGACTAGTCGGGCGTACCCTTCGCTTCTTGGTTTGTCGGCGTGGTTTGTGGACCTTACACTTAGATTGAGAGAATTGGAAACGTGGGCTACAGATTTTGTTGTAAGTAATACATTTTTCTTTTAATCAATTCCTTGATCATTTGTTAAGATCATTATGTTAGGTCAGGTCTTGTGATTGCATTTTGATCTCATTACTCAGTTGCCGGCATCAGTGTGGCTTGGAGGCTTCTTCAATCCTCAAAGTTTATTGACGGCCATCATGCAAAGCACGGCTCGAAAGTATGAATTGCCTCTTGATAAGATGTGTCTTCAGTGTGATGTTACAAAGAAGATGAAAGAAGAATTCACGTGAGTATCACAAGAAGGTTAAGATCCTTCAAAACGACATTGAAACTTTAAAATGTCTTTTCTGTAAACACATTTTAATAATTTTAAGCGAGCAATTACACACATTTATGATAACATATACATATAATTTGAAAAAAAAACAGTCTCCTCTGTCCCCCATATACTCTGGTTTCTAGGTCTCAATTTTGTCGGCGTGTGGAAGAGTAGAAGGGGTAAAAAGAAATTGAAAATATTTTTTTTTCTTATTTTTTTTTTAAATACACCGGCACTGGGAATAAATCCCTTGCCGTGGGGGACTTTACGAACATACACGAAACGGACACAAAGAAGACCCAGACTCAGAACAACAATTTGTGGATGACACAAAGTGTCGTCCCATGTGGGGACTGGCAAGATCTACATTATTAATCTTTGGCCTTTTCTTAACACAAATCTATTGTTGGAATTCGGTCCTCACATTTTGCATACTCACTTACGTCTAGCGCTCGGTCTATATTTATAGCTGTATAATAAAAAAACACTTATTCTAATTTTAAAGTTCTTTTGCACACAATGTTAAGTAGTACATTACATAACTGTAACTTAGATTTTCTCCTTTTTAAATTATTCTTTATTAAACCATTAATATACAAAAACTCATTGCATACTTACTTTATTTAGATTTCATACCTCATTTGTTAGAAATTATCTTTTATCTTAAAGCAGTCTGTCTATTTTCTCTTTATGTATCTCTGAAAACTTTGTACTTTTCCTAGGTACTGGTGAGTATCAACGCAACTTAATGGATTATTAAGAATTTATTTATAGGTATTTACAGGTAAAAGGCGTAAATATGCCTCCGTAGCATTAAACAACTTAGGCTGAAATAATAAAAAAGCACACGCATAAATTATACAAAATGCACCCGAGAAAATAACAAAAACAAAGTTTTCTAAGCTTTTGTTGTAACTAAGTATACTGCCTTCAATTTAATACTTAAATTAATGCTTTTACTAGATATAAACTGTAAATATTACTTGACTACATAGGTAAGTCAGAACTAGACTAATATCTGATGCTGCCTACAATTTTCTCTTACTTTTATTTTTTGTTTACTGATGCTATTGTATTATACTTGTGAATATAAAAACATTGTAAAGGCTTACTATATGTTCTTCTCGTTGGGTACTTAACAGTTGTGTGTTGAGTGACACTGACGATAAAACAACATAACTAGTTTTATAGGTGTTAACATAGACTAGTTAAAATCTATTAATACTAGTTTCAAAAGTAAATGATTAGTGTTTATAATATTTAAAGCCAGTTTACCTACTTTAAGTAGCGTTCTTGAAACTGGCTTCTAAAGTCTTGTACAGGATCATTTCTAAACCTTCTTTGTATATATCCATTTCATCATCATTTCTTCGGCCTTTAGTTTATAATTTAATATTAACTAAACTCATTTGGTTAAACAAGCATGTGTGTAACAGGATGCCTGAATTGTTTTCATCAGCGGTGTCTTTTTATCAAGGAGTAACGACGAACGAGTAAATACGTATGTATACATAAATACATGAACGTTTTTATTCTAAGATTAAATATGTTTACTAAATAGGCGATGGAGTCACTCAATTATTTGATGTTAAAATGGACTGACAAAATATGAGTAAATTAAAATCATTATACGAGTGATTCATGCAGAAGATGTTCTGGTTTTTATCAAGGTGAACATGATCATCACAACAACAAGATGTTATATTTGTCAATCCACGATGGTAATGTGTGTTGTTTAAATAACAAAGATATAAGATTTAAATTTCAAACTTGTAAACTAAAGGCCGACTTCACCTTCATTTTCAAGATATATTATTATTATTTTTGCACGAATCTAAAATAAGCTATTGCTGTTAGGGTTGCTGACACTAGAGCAGGTCCTCGAGACGGCGCCTTCGTCCATGGACTATTAATGGAAGGTGCAAGGTGGGACCAACAAGCTGGTATTATTATGGACTCCAGGCTCAAGGACTTGTTTCCTCCCATGCCGGTGATAAACGTTAGGGTAAGTCGCCAAACAGCAGACTTAACTTGTGACAATATATATATTTATATATATTTTTTTAAGTAGACAACTCCCGCACTAGGAATATATCCTGTGTCGCAAGGGACTTTACAAACATCATGGTAACGGACACAAAGAACACTCTAGGTGTTCTTTGTGTCCGTTACCATGATGTTCTTTACTCAGAACAACAATTTGTAGATCACACAAAGTGTTGTCCCGTGTGGGGATCGGACCTACACCACTCAGCGTAGCAGAAAGCGGCGAGGTGACCGCTTAAACCACTACGCCATCCAAGCAGTCGTTTGTTTCTATTTATTATTTATTTATCACATAAAAGAACTTGACAAAGAAGGTTTATACAAAATGGCAGAATCTGCAGAAACCACATAGGTTAGGTTAGGTAGACAAGATACTTAGTTTCCCTGTAAAAAACTTGTCAAAGGTCTTTTTTTAAATAGATTTTTGTCATGTAACTGGACTTAGCTTTAATAAATGTAGGAAGTATTGTTCCTTTTACTACTCAAAACTTTTAAGTAAATCACTTTAATGTTGCTAGTGATTGGAAGAAACGACGTATCTTCGAATAGACTTAGTACAACATGTCTTCGTTAGATGGCGTTATGTGTATGGTAACTGAAGGTCAATCTTGTAATAAAATTCATTCAAAATTCAGTTCCGATCTACTCTTTATCTCACAATTTTATAAAAGGTTTTCTCGTGCGATAAAAATGAAATAAAAAAAACTTCATTTTTACTAAAACTAATTAATAGGTATAGATATTCTGCATATATTTTTTTTTTTTTTCAAAGAAAGATTATATTACATTATTAATTTATCCTTTGTCGCGGGGGACTTTACAAACATACATGAAACGGATACAAAGATTCAGATCAACAAACTGGCTCACACAGTGTCGTCCCAAGTGGGGATCGGACCCACAACACTCAGCGTTAGTAGTAAGCGGCGAGGTGACCGCTTAAACCACTACGCCATCCGTGCCGTCAAAATTACTTTCTAAATCTGATTTTGTTTTCCACCAGGCCATAACCCAAGATAAACAAGATCTTCGCAATATGTATGAATGTCCAGTTTATAAAACACGAACTCGTGGACCAACTTACGTGTGGACCTTCAACTTGAAGACCAAGGACAAGCCTGCTAAGTGGACGTTGGCTGGAGTTGCTTTGCTCTTGCAGGTGTAGATGTTGGTTTAAATGGTTATAAAATAAATATTGGTTTATAGTTTTGTGTATTGTTTCCTTGCAACTTGAACTAATATAATATTTTTGTATTAGTCGTTAATACGTGTGGTGATGGATTAAGAATACGGAGTATCACCAACCTTATTCAGCGATGGGGTTTCGTAAGGGAGCAAACTACGCAGGACAACAGCGCTGCAAAAAGAAAAGGAAAAGTTAAAACAAACCCTATACCAAACCGGTTGGCCAGCGTCCAGCTGTCCAGAAGTGGACTATTACAAGCTGTTGTTGATGATCATGATGATGTATTAGTCTACTGTTGTGCTATATTGAAATTAGAATGTCTGATCTGCCAAATATAGAGAGAGTATGAGCATATGATACACGCTCTTAATACGAGATATAATCATATGAGTCTATATATACCTACATAAATTCTACTTATCACGTAGTTAATTAAATAAATTGAACTGAAATATTTGAGAAATGGACACTAACACGTGTTAGGAAAGTAAATTAAAATATAACTCATTGCGGCAAGAAACACGCAGAAAGTAAATTTCAATCATTTCAACAATATGTACAAAGAACAACCCGACTCTAAATAACTATTTATGGAATCCACAATTGTTTATCCCGTATCAAAAGAATCGTTTATCTATGGTGCCTTACGTTCACTCTTTGTTATATGTCGCAGTGTTTGAATTTATTACTCGTATAATCTAAGCATTTAAGGCTGCGCATTTATATTTGAATAGGATCTACTAAAAATTTAACTCTAAAACATCTAAATTGAATTTTATGAGAGGTTACAAGTGACTTTATTCTGTGAAGGTATGAATGTCTTCGGGGGAATTAATCTTATAAAATATAATTATAAAAAATTAACGAGATTAGATAACGTCAACTTTCTTTAAAAATTTTGTTATACGTGTTTTTAGCACCTGCTTCTTTTAATGCAAAAAAGATGAAAGGTGACACGACAACTACATCATTGATAACGATAACATACATAATGATTTCCAACGATACATAATATACAACCCTACTTATTAGTATTTTGTTAGCTAATACATCATCAGTGGGATGACTCAGTTAAACCTACTGATGGTTTCTGCCCATGGTTTACCTACAAGCCATTCGAGGCAACCTGCTGGTATATTCACTAATGCTCCTAAGGGTCATTTTTCTTTGTTCAATACAAACGAGTGAGATACTTATACAAGTTTAAGCAAATAAGGAATCAAACAGAAAATATTGTCTTCAGGTTAACTATATCATTAACCATTAAACTCAAATTTAAGTTACGGTGCGCTTTTCAACGTCGGTTTTAAATTTTAATCATCGTTTTGATCTTTCAGTCGTTTTACCTTAACTGTTCGCTAGTTCAGATTTAGGTAACAAATAAATATGTTATCGTCAGATGACTCGCCATTCCAACGCATTCTACAAATTGCAGAAGGAGACCGAACCGGTCAAAACTTGTAGTTAAAATTAAGCAATTTAATGTTGACCTTATGACCTTAGATACGGAATGGTGTCAATGAAGACTATTTGGTTGATATAATACTTTCTCTGAATGCGTAGATATTTAAATAATATACTTTCACACTTTCGTTTACATGGCTCTTCTATATGTTTGTTGAAGGATGTTACGCCAATATGATGGACATTACATATTTATTTTTTGATCCAGTTACACTTTGATATATATGGAACTCATTAAGTGAGATGAGAGAGCTAAACAAATATATGAAGTCCTATTCAAAAATACTCTTAAGAATGCTAAATTTTACTTCTATGTTTTATAAATACAGATAATTTGTTATTTTTACATAAAACAAAACTATCAAGCAGTTTTTGAAGGAAAGCGTTTTAAATATTTGAAGTAAAAGATGCAAGTATTTTGTATTCGAGAGGCTTCTCTTCGTTAATTAAGTAGGCAGCAATATATCGCTAGTGTTGTGACTCATATTGCAAATATCGATAGTAAAATTTATATATATAGATGCCAAGTGATTTATGTTCTGTAATTAAATAATATAAAAAAACTGTTGTAAAGTAAATTTATTATATTATGTGTGGTCGGACTTGTATTAATTTTAACTAATAAGTTTATAATGGTAAATTACAAGGCGATGTAAGTAGTTCTAACATAAACAAAAATCAGTGTATTTCTATTGAAGCTTTGTATGTAATTAAGTTTTTATTACACAGTATAAAGTTTTGGTCAGATAAAGGCTTAATAAGGTGTGAGAATGTCGATCGAAATGATTTATTGTATGTTTATTATATGAAATGATATATTTATGTTTCTAATAGGAATTAATAAAAAAATATATATTTCTAGTCATCGGTAATTAAACTGGTTCAGTTAAATCTATGCTTATTAGCCATGATTTGATTTGCCTGTTAGTCTAGTGGTTAGTGAACCTCTCGTAGGTTCAATGCTCGACCGTAAAAAAAATGGTTTGATCATTACACAATTAAGTATTTTTGTTCTGAAGTTAATTGTCGTTTACCAACAATTTGTAAGTTAGAATTATTGCAGTTTTTTATTTTAATTGATTTTTTACAAATATATGTATAAACAAATACATTTCGTTCTTATAAAAATGAAAGGCTATATTCGATAAGAGAAAATAATATTGTTAATTTAACGATGGAATTCTAAATAAATCGAAATATAATATCGACAAATATTATAAACATATGTTTATAATATTTGTCGATATTATATTTCCTATCCGGGCATCACTAATATACAGCTCACACGATGTTCTATGTTAACTTTAAAGTATTAAAATTCAAAGGAGTCGCTATATAATCTGTAATTTCCCTTTCTAGATACAATTAGACTCGGATTTGTGTGTAGTAGGCGTCGCCATTAGCATGTAACATAGCCTTTTAGTACCTACATTGTTAGGGTGCTTCGTTAGATGCACATGTAGGAGGCGCGATACTGCGTTAAGACTCTGTCCTTAGCCAAAATAGAGAGAAAACGAAAGTTAATGAAATTAACTATTTAAATATTCAAATGCCTGTTGTTAGGTGCATTTGTTTGATTAATTTCGGTGCGGTAGAAACTTTCAGTCCACGTATCTTTTTTATTTGTCTGAGACTAAGTTGGATATATAATACAGAAAGTGATGTTTCTTGGAGATTGATACATCGTTTTTAGACAGATATAAATTTTGCAACTATGCAACTATTTTATGGTTTGAAGACAAAAACAAATGTATATTATTTTTTTAGTCAATCAAAGAGAAGGAGTCAGTTCTATTGAAGAAAAGATCCCGTCATAGAGACTAGTGCCAACTTTTAATGGCAAAACGGTCAGATTCAGATTGAGTGTGGATTTGACGGAGGTAGTCTGGACCTCATAATTGTTAGGAAGTAGTAGGAAGCGCAGTAGGAAGCGGCCAGGGCCTCAATTCTGCTATTTTATGTTCACGCCAAGCCACTGTCATACCACTGACACGCTATTGAGATGCCATCGAGTGGCCATTGGTATCGGTATAACTAGCGGAGGTGACCACTTAAACACCACCGTGCAGTCATCGAAAAAGATTTATAAGCGAATATTGCGTTTGACAGTTCACAGAATCCGACTGCGTTTCCTAAAACGTAGTTGGCATTTACCCGTGATAGTGTCTTGCTAATTTGAATATCTGAATTGATTGTGTTAAGTCGACCGACTTTAACACCTAATCTGTAAGAGAGCAAAGACGCGGCGTTTAAATGTTTTCGGAGGTATTTGTGGGCTCACGGATGCGAAAATAACCGGACTTTGTCGACTGTCTTTTATGGAATGCACGAATATCCGGTGATTGAGAGATAATATCATGTAAATAGCACAAGTAGAGGTGATCTTCAGAGGTAAACCTACTTTACTAACTTTTAAACTTTCGCGTTCCATGATAATTAATATTATTTAACGGGAATTAACGCGATCTCTTATTTAGGGCAAACCAGAGGTATGTAATACCCTAAATAAGAGATCGCGTTAATTCCCGTTAAATAATATTAATTAAACCTACTTTAACTTAATTTTGTATTTTAGCGTGTTATGTTTTCATTTTCTATTTTCTTAACAACTTTAAAACGACAAACAATTTTATATTGTTCAACTAATAAGTTGAACAATATTTCACATTGTTTTCTATAATATTACAAGATATGTATGAAAAATGTTTAATAAATCACTTAAAAGTTATATAATTATTATGTCACGTTTACATTAGGTTTACGTAAAACAATTCTCTTTTTTGGATAAAAGCTACACTATACCCTTTTATTAAACCCTTGCATTAACGTTTTTCTTTTAGGATAATTGGATGAACGGTGCGGGAGCACATACAATATACTAACAATTCTAACAAACGAACTCAACATTATTAAAAGTGAGAACGGGTATTTATTCGTTCCATACAATTACGTGTTTAATTGATTGACCTTTGCTTATAATTTTAAAGTACACTTATCAAATCTATTTGATTAACAATTTTAAACCGAATTGAAAAACATATTTACTTATATGATTAATATGACACAGAGTGGTTTTGAAGTTCAAATTTCAAATAACTGGATAATTTATATACATATTATATTTTAGAGTTTCGTAACAAGGATTCCGTATAGTGTTGTCATTTCCGTCTCTTTGTCTTTTCATCTAAAATTTTTGATTAAAATTGGGCTCAAAAAATCTTAAGAAAATCGTGACAAGTATACATTACGAATAAATAAGGCACATTATCACGGCTAAGTGATCGTCTGTTAGGTACTTTAAGAGTAAAATAGTCGCCCAACTCAAAAGTATTAAAAAAAAAAAATTAGATGCAGTTGTTACTTGTTCGAAGCGGGTGTTAGATAATAAAGAACGGGACCGCAGATTTTCAGGCAGATCGGTGATTGACTAGTTTTTATAATCATATTTAATGGCTACTACGTGCACGATGTCACCTCTTTAATCCTGGCGAGACTCTTAACCTTTTAATGAATTA